CTGGTCTTTCAGCTGAAGTCAAACTTCAGTAAGACTTGTTCTAAAGAGGTTAGTCCCAGAAAGCTAATATCCCAAGCATTGCCTTCAGTTGGCCCTGTGTTTCGGATATCCAACTTTCAGACAGTCAATCTTCAGTAAGACTTGTATCCCAGAAGCATTGCCTTCAGTTGGCCCTGTGTTTCGGATATCCATTTTGAAGAAGTTCAGAAATTGCTTATTCAACTGCAGTCATACTTCAATTTCTGTGGGGGCAAGAAGCACTCAGTGCAACTATGTTCGGCAGAGTTGAAGAAAAGAAACAGTAAAGCATTCAAAAATAAAGCAACTGAAGAAAAGAGCATTAGATTAATATTTCATGCTCAAAAATTGAGCTACAAGTTCAATAATTCAGTATCGGCAGCCGCCCACAAGCGGAAAATAACAGCTGCCGAAATACGTACATAAGCAAAAAAATAAAACTGCTGTACGACAAGGCAAGCTGAAGCAAAAAACAAGGCAAAAAACTCAGAAAGCGGCAAGTCTAAAGTTAAGCACATGATGAACCGCAAGATTCTGAAGACGACTGCCCGAGTTCCTATGCTTCAGCCGGAGGATCAGACTGATCAGCGTTGAGCCCCATGGTGGCCTCAGCCCCAGCAGCAGAAGAAGCGGGCTTTGCACTTTGCCGAGCCTCCCTTTCCCTCTGCTCAGCTTCCAACTCCAGTCTTTCAGCTTCCTCTTCGGCTTCCTCAGCCTTAAGAATTTCAGCTTCAGCTGGAGTTGCATACTTCATGTGAGGGTCTTCGGGATTCTGGACCCACTCAGCACATTTAGACCAGTCCAGTTTCGGCTCAGCATGAAGGCAGACTCTTCGGCATACTCGGAATCCGTTTCTGAAACCCATCTCATATTCCTCTTGGGTGTAAACACGGACTTTGAGTAAAGCCTCAGCATCAGCCAGCTTCTTCTGGGTCTCCTCCAAGTCTTCCTTGGATTTCTTCAGCTCATCAGCGACTTTGGAGGAGGAACCCTTCAGCTCATTCAGCTCTTGCTGAATTTGGAAAGCCTTTGTCTGAGCCTGGGCCACTTCAACTTCCTGGATCAGCAGTTGATCCTCAGCCTCTTGAAATTTAGCTCTTTGGGCTTCAGCAGCAGCAGCAGCCTCTGAGAGTTGGACGTCTTTGGCCAGGAGCAACTCTTCAGCAGCCATTCGGCTGGTTTCAAGAGCCTCTAGACGCTGCTGCACTTCAGCTTGTGCAGCAGTTCCTTCTTGAATTCGGCTCTCAATAGCAGCCTTGAATTTGGAGACGTCCACTCCCATATGCTCCTGGAGGAATTTTTCCCCTTCCATCAGTGGGGGAAAAACCTCCTTCTCCATAGCATCGCAGAAGGTTTTCAGGGCTTCGGCAGCTTTTTTACCGTACTCCTCAACCTCCTGCTGCTTCTCTTCAGCTGCTGCTTGCTTCAGCTTAGCAAGCTTAACTTCCTCTTCAGCCACCTTCTTTTCGTGCACAGCAGCGTCTACCCTATCTTGTAGGGTATCAATCAGCTCTACAGTGAGAGTCTGATTGTGCACGAACTGAAAACAGGAAGACAAAAAAAAATATAATAAATAAAAAAAAAATATATATATATATGAAGAGCTGAATTTCGGAGGAAATGAAGGAAAATTACCTGCATCATCAGCAGTTGGTTAGACCTGGCTGGGTCAGGAACTGATCTGCTGGATTCGCCCATCCCAGCAGTGGCCTTCAGCGACCAGATCCTTGCCCTGTCTACTTCGGACATGCCAGCAAAATTGCCGAAGTAGGCTGCAGCTCCTTCTAGGTTTTGACCCCATATGAGGTCCCAGATGTGATCTGGGATTGGAATTCGGGGGGCCGAGAAACCCATCTCTCCAGAATGCAGAGTCTGGAAAGAAGGGAAGGACGACGATGGAGCTTGATTAGCTTTGGTTGCCTCAGCATCGTCCTTCTCAGAGGAGTCAATTACTATGACCTCCTCTTCTTCAGGGGTGAGGACGAAAGCCTCAACCTCTCTTGCGATATCTGCCGTGAAGCCCTCAGCACTGGACATCACGGCATCTTTATTTTCGTGCTCAGCAGCACTCTTCTTGATTTCTTCTTGGACCCCTCCCTTAGGTTCGGGAGTTCTCTGATCCACCTCCATCTCAGGAGGTGGCGGAGGGGTCTTTTGAGGAGATTGGGGTGTTGGCTGGGGAACCCTCGGCGATCCATTGCCTTCCTCAGGTTCCCTTATTGCGACGCCGATGGTCATCGGCCTCTGCTGAAAGTCATGAGGGCCGATGATGGCCATCCTTCGGCGCCTTTTCAGAAGGGGCTGCTCGTCCATATCTGAGTCTGAAGACTCTTGTATTTGATCTTCGGGACGAACAGGAGCTTTGCCTTCTCTGTGTCTGTTACTCTCTTCAGACTGTAACAGACAGGGGGGAAGAAGAGTGTGAGTAAAAAAAAAAAAAAAAAAAAAAAAAAAAAAAAAAAAAAAAAAAAAAAAGAAAAGAAAAGTTTTCTGAAAGCTCACCGAGGTTTTCAGCAAAGCCTCGTCTTCTTCAGCTGCTCTAGCTGCAGCTTCGGCTTCAGCAGCTCTGGAGGACCCCTCTCCTCCTTCGCAAGCCTCAAGTACCCGTGCAACCTCTTCGGCTGTGCGGGCGGCTTCAGCTTCTTCGTTCAGCAGCTGAAACCAAGGGTCTCTCTTCTTCCACCAAGGCTTCTGCCTCTGATACAGAGCAACAGCCTCAATTTGGAAGTGGGAAGAATCCAGATGAACTTCCCTATGCCTCGGCTCAGTGATAGACGGGGCCCGTTCAGTTACAACTCGCTCTCGGTTAACACCAAGACGAGCGTAGTTAATACCAACGTTGGTCTCGTCCCGCTCTGAAAAAAGGAAAGGGAAAAAGTTTAGCTCAGATATGTTGGCACAGCATAAAAAAGCAAAGCGAGAGAAGAAAAAGAGGTAGTTAAAAGCCTCGGCCCCAGCCGAAGAAGCTTACCATCCTTAAACTTTCGGCTGAGGCCAACAGCTGCTAGCATATTCTCTTGGAAAACGTAATGCGTATCGGGGAGCCAAGTCTCCGGGATATGCTGCATTCGACCACTCCCCCCCGGGTTCGGCAGCTTGCCGAAGATATGTTGCTGATCCAGGTTCGGATCCGCCCCGTTATCTGCGGGGGGACCTAGACTTCCCATTTCGGGATCAGGCTCAGCTAAGTACCGGGGAGCGCTGAAGACGCAAGGGTGGCCCGGATCTGTGGGTGCCCTAACCCAAATCCATTGACCTCTCCAGTCCTTGTCTGAAGAGTCATTTGGCCACATGGTCAAGTATTGGGGCCGGGACTCAATCCGATACCACCCAGAACCATGGCTTCCGTGCCCACTCTGAATATTTGGCACTAGCCGATGGAGCTTTCTGAAGCAGTGCAGGTTCGGCACGTATTTGAAGAACTTGCAGACCCATAAGTATGTCATCACCCTTCGGATGCTGGTGGGGGTTAGCTGACATAGGGAAATGTTGTAATGGATCAGCAAGTCTCGGACGAAAACGTCCAAAGGGAACCTCAGCCCATACTGAAGCTGTCTCGTGTACACCCCCACATACCCCGGGGGTGGACGATGGATTCTATCGGATGCTGAGGGCATTCGGCACCAATATCCATCAGCTTCAAAAATGCCGTAGTGCAACTCAATCTGCTCGGCAAATCGATATTGATCGGCGTTCTCTACCCACCATGAGTAGGGGCGGTTCTTTATCATGGCCGAAGCGACTTCGGCATTCTCCCACTCTGAAAACCCAGGGAGGATATCCCAAAGGACAGCGGGAATTTCATCATCCCGTCCAGAAGCACTCGGCTCATCCGTTCTTTGAGGAGGAGCCGAGGAAAGGGGAGTCGCCCTAATCCCTTCAGCAGGGTCAGACTCCGGCCTTTGACCATTCCAGGTCCCAATCCAGTTCCTAGGATCGGGAATCAGCCTTGCTCTTCTTGGAGCACGGGCTCTACCTCTAACTCCTCTTGCCATGGATTGTTTCGAAGAGAAAAGTCGAAAAAAAAGGGAAAGGAGTTCGAATTCGAAGAAAAATAAACTGAAATCAAAGGAATTTACCTTAATCTGAAGCGAAAGTTGCCGATTTACGAGTTCGTAGTGGCAAGTCTCAGTTTCTAAGCTCAATGCTCGGGGAATTTGCGAAGTTTTGATGCGGGTTCTTGGTTTCTCTCTCGAAGAATTCTGGGTTCGTGTTGGTGAATAAGTGAGGAGAATGACGCGCCTCTGTTTATATCTCCAGGTACGGGATACGAAGAGTCTGTGCTTTAATTTCTCTTAAATACCCACTAAGTAGCCATTAAACACATGTCTTGTGATTAAACTGCCCATTATCCGTCCAACTTCCGCAAATCATTAACCGTTGTTATCTCATTAATTACGGTTTAAATTCAAATTTTTGGATCAATTAAATCATTTACTTCCCTCCTTTTCTGAGTTAAATCAAACCCGACCCGTCATCCTTCCAAATCGGGTCTGGGGGGCAAGTTGTTTGGGTCCAATTTAGTCAAAATTGGGCCTGAGCACTAAATGATCCAATTAAAAGCCCAAGGTCAAGGTTCAACTCTCCAATTGCTCAAAAGTCAAAGGTCAGCCCACAAAGTAAGCCAATTGGGCTAAAGCCCAACTTCTCCATGTATGATGAGGTATAAAAGCCATCATATTAACACATTCAAAGGACAATTTAGACAACGACGGATATTCCAATTCATATGCTCATTCTTGCATTCAGAAATATTACACAAAAGCCTCAAGCTACAAACTCTCTTGCATAGTGTCTTCCTTTTACACATTGTACTGACTTTAGCATCGGAGGGGCCTTCCTCGGAAACACCCCCGAGGCTAGTTTACGTGTGTTCACTGTGCAGGAAACCTTCGGCCCAACACAACTTGGACCGAATCCAGTCTTCTCCATTTCAGCGGACCTTCGGCAAGGTCCCATTGTTTTCAACCGAAACAACAAATATCATCATGAATTCATAATGACAGATCTTCTTTATTAAGTTTCAAAATAAATAAATTAAAAAAATGTCTAGTCGGCATGAGTTTGTGGGTTGAAATTCATACTTTATACTCCATATGACCGTATCTAATATTCATAAAAAATTATCCATTTATTTACAATTTGGCGGTGATATTAAGGTACTGTAATAAACATGATTTACAGATTTCACCTACTAAGATGATAAATTGAGGCGTGCTCCGTCTCACTGTCTGAAACCTGGGTTAAAAGAGAGTACGCACTTTGGGAGCGAAACAGAACGAACGAGAGAGAGGCAGATGATTCATCAGTGTAATTTAATCCCAAAATAAAACTAGGGCTTTGCAATTCAAAATAAAATTAGGGTTTTGTGATTCCATTAGAAATCAAAAGATGGCTCAAAGTGGAAAAGTAATGCCAAATCTGGATCAGAAGAGCACAAAGCTGCTTAATTTGACGGTTCTTCAGCGCATCGATCCTTCTGTTGAGGAGATTCTGATTACTGCTGCTCATGTTACGTTCTATGAATTTAACATTGAACTCAGCCAATGGGTAATCTTCTCTCTTTCTCTGTTTTCTGTCTCTCTTTTTTTCCTCGCTTTTTATTTCTTTTGTCAATTCGCAGAGTCGCAAGGATGTCGAAGGCTCCCTTTTTGTCGTTAAAAGGTTTTTTTTGGCCATTTTTGAGTGATTATGATTTTTGCTTTGCTTAGTGAATAACAATTTTTCATTGATTATTTATGTTGTTTTTTTGTTCAGGAACAAACAGCCTCGGTTTCAATTTATTGTAATGAATCGCCGAAACACAGGTTAAAGTTATTTTGAATCATTCTTTCAAATACATATAAACTTTGTGTAAATTATTTTAATCAACAATTGAAGATGTTAAGGTTTGAAAATATGCATTACCAAGTGTGCTTAAATAAATGTGTTAAATAAAATGAATCATAGAAAGTATACACTTTAATTGCCGCTTGGACGGTTTTATCCTCATTATGACTTGCAGAAGCTTGAGTAGATGATGCAATTTTCACACATGTTGAAAGCAGAATCAGCTTTTGTATTTCCATGTTGCTGAAGCAATCAACTTAAGGCCTCTTATTTGAATGACATATTGTCAAATACAACACCCCCCTCCCAATCCCCCACTATCCCCTCGAAAGAAGGATAGGCGGGATATTGATTGTATTGAATGTTAGATATGTTTGAAATCGCTTTTTATGATTACGTTAATTTATAATGACTTGGAACTTGAAGAAGCTGTGTACTCAAATGTGCAGAAAATCTAGTAGAGAATCTTTTGGGGGACTTTGAGTATGAAATCCAGTTACCATATTTATTATACCGCAATGCTGCACAAGAAGTAAATGGTATTTGGTTTTATAATGCTCGTGAATGTGAAGAGGTGGCAAATCTATTTGACAGGTATCTTTTATGTCCCTAAGTCCAAAACTAGTAAAACTACCGCTTCAATAACATGAACTGGTTTTAGAACTTCATATTATAATTGATTAGCATTGAAGATATCTTACGATGAATTATGTCCTATGCTATTTCTTCCAGGATACTTAACGCTTATTCTAAGGTGCCCACTAAGCCCAATATATCTCCATCTAAAAGGTAAATTTCATGTACATCTATGCTTTAATGTCAGATATTAGTATTTTACCATGTCCTGGTAGGTGAAAGGGTAGTTAGCAAGGACCCCCCCCCCCCCTGGCGGAATTTTTCTAGTCATAAATTGTTTGCAACTTGCAAGTGTCATACCCCATTTTTCTATCTTGGGCACTTGGCTCCATCTCAGCCACTCCCTTGTAATTGTAGTTTGTCTAAGAGATAAAGAGGTCCAGACAGAGACCCTTGACCCTTATAGATTATGTCAAATCAATTAGTTTTGTTATAATATCAAGCTGAGGTGACTTGCCTTCTGTAGATACTACCTTTTAGAAAGTGGTATATTACATTTTGTACTAAGTCATAAGGTGCAAATATCTTCAAACTGAAAGATGTAAGTGGTACTACCCTGTCTACAATGACGGATCTAGGGGGTGGCCAGCCCAGACCATGGCCCTCCCCATGATCCTATAAATTATTTATGTATAATTAAGCTGCAAATAATTGGATGCAAAACACCTTGGCTAGGTTGGCTCTATCCATGCATCGTAACCCAATTAATGATGGTAGCTAGATCCGTTGATCGAAACCAGCAGGCCACAATTTTTTCCCCTCTTTTTTGTGCTTTTTTCTCAATGCTCAACCTTTTTTTTTTTTGGGCAGTGGTCCTTTTTCTTAGCTTAAGGATGTATGTATGTAGTATAATTTATGAATAAACTTTAGATATCGATATTTGGCCCGGTCTAGATCCGTCCTTACCTATCCACAACTTATGGCTTGTGAATCATAATCAACAACTGAAGAAAGGAAGTATATATACCATTTTCTCATGGAGGTGTACTTTTCTGTCCTCAGTAAAGGCATGAGCTTGACCCTCTCCTCTTTCTACGTAGACAATAGTGATGATGAGAAGTATCGTTTTCTTTTTTTGGCCAAGGGAAATAGATTGTGTGGACGTTTATTCTTTACTGAGGGGGAAGGCAACTGATTACCTTCTCTCAGGGCTTGGGGACTTTTAAAGAGGTGAGATTCAACCAGAGGAAAACATCCTGGAACTCTGGAAGTCAAGGTGCACATTATCTGTGCTACATCACTCCCTCCTCGTGTACATTATTATGTACCCTGCTTTAATAGAACAACTGTATAGTTGTGAATTTGTGATTCTCTGTAACTAATGATACTCTATATTGCTTCTCTATTAAAGTTTGTTATAGCAAGTATATTCTGCTGCAGTGAATTTGAAGAATTAGAGGCAGTACCAACCATGGCTGTTATGGATGGTCCACTGGAGCCTTTGCCATCAACTACCGCAAATGTTCATGATGGCCCTGATGATCCCGCCTTTGTGAATTTCTTCAGTGTATTTCTAAGCCTTTTTCTCTTCAGCTTGGGAAATTTGAATGATTTACAATCTAACGAAGGATTTCATTTGGTTTCTCTGTGACTGGTACTGATTTCTTGTTTGCAGTCAGCTATGAATACGGGAAATCCTTCCATTTCTACAATTACTGGAGAACTCCAGAAGCCTTCTGCAACTGCCATCCTTGCTAGTCGGCCAGTCAATATGCCTCCAATGGTTCCATCAGCACAAATAGCATCTAATGCTACCTTAACATCTGCTTCTTTGCTGTCTCTGCTTGATACATCAGAGCCAAACAACAATAGCAGTTATTTGACAAATCTTGTTAAACCATCCTCTTTTTCCAGTCTTCCTCCTGCCACTTATCCATTGATGGTGCTGCCTGTTTCTTCATCTATGCCAACTGCTGCTCCGCTGCACCCTCCTAATCTTCAACGTCCCTGTGGTGCTCCAGTCCACCAACCTTTTCCTCCCCCAACTCCACCCCGATCTCTAACTCCAACATCAGCTGTCACTTCTAATTATGGGCCAGTCGTAAGCAGAGAGAAGGTTCGAGAAGCTCTATTGTTGCTTTTTCAGGTGAGTTTCAAATCTGTGTTTGATTGTGAATGGCTGTAGGTCTATGATTTTATTTATTTATTTTTGACAACAGCGAGGTCTATGATTATAGGTAACAGATTTTATTTATTTTTTTAATTTTAGCTTCATGTTATGTGTTAGAAAATAGAGCCACGCCTTACTTGACTTCTATGTTGATTTGAAATTTTCAATTTTTGGTAATTAACAAATGGCTTCGGATCTAGTAAAGTCATATTTTACTATCTAAAGATATGTTGGGAGCCTTCCTTGTCAATAAGATATGCGTTACTCTTTTAAAGTTTCTGTGTTTGAGATTGAGCCTAAATTTCCTTAAATTATTACCTGTATTAAGTCATTATCTAATGGATTTGCAATGGCTCAAGGGATAATCGCCATATTCATTTAGCTATTAAATTTGTTATTTGTATTAAGTCATTATCTAATGGATTTGCAATGGCTCAAGGGATAATCGCCATATTCATTTAGCTATTAAATTTGTTATTTGTTTTCTGTGTATCAGGGTTTATTTTCATTCATTAAAATGTTAAGAGTAGTTTGCCCTAGTTATCATGTAATCATATGTTATTTTATCACTAAAGAATTTCTTCTGTGATACAGGATGATCATTTTATCGACATGGTGCATCGAACGTTATTGAATGCTCACCACTCTTGAAAGTTGCAATTTCCTCCCCTCCCCTCCCCTGCCCATGTGTTGTGTATAGCAATTTCATGGACTAGGTGGATTTGGTGGGGGACATCCGGACATGGATGCAGTGTAAATTACATTACCTGAATTTATTACATTACCTTACCCAAATTTATTACATTACCTTACCAAGCTGATGTTCTATACTCCGTATTTGTTTATGCATTAGTTATGATCTCACGGTCTGCCTCCTCCCTACACCTCCACTCTTCCAAAAAACGGGAAATATCTTAGTTAATTGTGTTGCGTAGAGCTCTTTAATGTCGTTCTTATGTATATTTGCTAACGTAATTATCTGCGTAAAGTTGATACAAGCTCCCATGCAAACACAGTCTAATGGGGGAATATATCCATGTGGTTGGAATTCAATTAATTCCCTCGATCAAGCAAGAAGGTATTATTAACGACAAAATCTTACTTTATGAAAAGTAAATACAAGCAACAACTCACATATTACAACACGATAAAATAATTTACTGCTTGTAAAAGGAGGGGAAGGATGAATGTGATGGATAACAGATCTAAACGGCATTGCAAACTCTCGCTATAAAAAAATTTTGAGGTCAAAGTTTGTCATGAAAAAAAAAAAAAAAAAATCCATTCATATTTAATATCATGCACATTTCTCCTCTAGAAGTCACCAACTGCACAAAAACAGCAGATTGTGATGTCATACTAGTTTGATTTGCTATCCAGAAACTTGGCCAGGACTGGAATTATTATAATCCATATTTAAAGCGTATACCCAAACCTCTTTGAAGATCCAAGAAAAACACGTCTTATAGATCAACATTTCGTCAGTCGTGACCAGATTCCAATCTATTCCTGTAGTACAGTTAACATTGGACACAAACTTGAGCCAGAGTTGAATTTCTGCTTCCTTGACAGGAAAAGAACTAGGAACCTTCTGAAAGAATTGATAACAGAACAGACAGCAGAGGGTATTCAAATTGTAGACGGTAAAACCAAATGCTGTTCAAGTCATTACAACAAAACTTTTGCTTGGGAATAACGCACCCAAGTCCTCGTATATAGAGTTTTCTTTGTGAAATGACAATAATGGACAGCCTCTTCCTATTTGTAGATGGAAAGCACCAGCAACAGCAAATCTGCAACAGCAGCACTTATGGTTCAGGCTGGAGAAAATGTTATGTCAGTCTAGGCTGCAAGAAAACATCATTGCCTTTGAGTGTAGAACAAGCTTTACGATGTTCAACAGTTCCTTTTTGCAGAATTAGGCTGTTTTCACTTTCCGGGAAGGTGGTCTTCGAAATAAACTGATGAGATCATCGAGGCCCTGATTGGACAGATACAATAAGGTTAACAAAAATGAATTTATGTCAAAGAACCTGTAAGACCCAACTATCAAGACAAATAGACAATCATCATGCATTTTTCAACGTGGAAAATGTGTAAGGCTACTCACCCTGGTTGTAATGACGAGGAAACTGAATAGCACTATCAAGTATGATCCCAGAACTAGCAATAACAGCAAATCAAATGTCACACTAGCCACCTGCAGCAATCCAAATTAATTTAGTTTCATGTAAAAAGGAGGATAAATAACTGTTTGCATAGAAACCTAGGCATGTGCACAGCACGCTGCAATACATCAACAATAGAAATGACACCTGGTAAATATTCAGAGTGGCCTCTGCTGAATCATAGAAAGTGAAAATTCCATCAAGATTCTCATGTTGTACATTCACCTCAGCTGTATGCTCTGCCAGTTCCTGCAAACAGAAGAGTAAATTTGTGGGAGGTCCTATTGCAAATATGTCACAGCAGATCAATACATAGCATGCTCCTCACGCATATATACAAAGATGGAAATCCCAGATAGCAGCAGTTTCCAAACTACTGACAGAAAAAGCTTCATTTTAAGGGTACACTGTTTGACAGGGAAATAGTAAAGCAGTAATACCTTTACTGTGAAACTATCACATTGTTTGCAACTATGAAGCTATCACTGCTATCAATAAATGTCTAAGTCACGGGATTTTAGTTTTTGAAAAATACTATGGAAACAAAAAACATGTACAAAGTCTCTAAACATTCCAAAGTCTGATGTACATTCGTAGGGAAAAAAAAGTGAGCTAGATGGCAAACCCAAAGAAACGATGCTGAAATGAGCTTAGTGAAACTAGTAGGTTGTCTCTCACATTAGTTCTAGGCCTTGGTTACTTTACTATGCTCAGCCTACAATAAGTGAGCTTTGTATAGTATGTGTTGTGCCAAACCCAAGTGCAAATAGAGTTGTATATCAGACTACTCTACTTAAATGTGTAGTGCTCACTGTTCCTGTTCACTGTTCAATAAATGAACATGGAGAAAAAGGATAGAAAGAGATGAGCGAACAGTAAAAGAGAATGAGTTTTGTAACTAAGAGCAACTTAAACCTACTAATTCTAGCTAGTGGGTTGTGTTACACATTAGTTCTAGTCCTTGGTTACTTGACTAGGCACAGCCACGAAATGTGAGCTTTGTAGTATGTGCTGTGCCAAACCCAAGTGCAAATAGAGTTGTATATCAGAATATATTACTAAAATGTTTAGTGTTCCTGTTCAATAAATGAATGAGAGAGAGAGAACAATAAAAAAAAAAATTAAAAAAAAAAAACATTAAAAAAAAAAAAAAAAAAAAAAATTATAACTGAAAGCACATTTATTTTTATTTTTATTATTATTTTTTACATTGACTCTTTGGGTAAAATCTAGAGATTTTTGTATGGGTCAAAAAAACTATAGCAAAACCTGAAGCTAATTTAATGTGGATAAAAAAAAAAAATTGTGAACAACATAGAATGAATAAGCGTACCACAAATTCTTTCTGCATTTAAATATTTGTTTTTTAGAGTTGTTCATTAGTTTTAAATAGATGTTTTAGAGTCATTAAATGAAAAAGTTAGTAACTTCATCTATAATTATAGTCCCCGTGCAATGTCATTGACCTAATTTCATACTCAATGGTAATGTCATTGATCTAATAATAAATAACCCTAAAACTTTGTCCTAGCATCAATTAGAGAGGACAAATAAAAGGAAAGAAAGAGAGAATTTGATATGCATTTGGTGGCACTTTTATTTCTAGCTGAAATAAGAATACTCCCTCCGTGTTTTTTCAAGTGTTTTTTGACCGGCACATATTTTTAGGCAATTTAATTGACTTAAATAAAATAACAGGTAAGTGTGGTAGTTGGAGTATTAAAAAATTGTGAAAGATAGTGGGTTTGGGTGGGGACCATGAGAGGAAAGATATATTATTTTAATGTAGCTTTTTGCCAAAAAAGGAAGTGTAACACTTAACACGGCCGGATTTGGTAAGTGTAACACTTAAAAAAAAGCACGGAGGGAGTACAATCTCTGTTTTAATTTTTTGTTCTACTTACTTTTCAATTAGGTGACTTTTTTACTTTGTTTTTTTTTTTTTTTTTTTTTTGGGGGGGGGGGGGCGGTTTTTCTACTCACTTCTACTTAAATACAAAGTAGATTTTTGGCAAACCTCCTTTAGTATCTTTCCTAACATTATTTACACCTTTCCATACTCTTTGCTATTTTATTTACCCTTATCTTATATTTAACCACCTTTTTGTTATTGTCACTCACTTGGATTGTTCATAATTATATAACCACCTTTTCTTCTACCTTTCCACACTCTTACACACTCATCTTTTTCAAAATTAAGTCAATCAATAAGTGGGGTCGGCTACATGAACCAAAAGTGATTATTATGTAGAGTCATCCACAAAAGTGTTCCTCCTCCATCCCTTACGATCTTTGTCAAATAAAAAAATAATTATAAAGAGGGGCTAGGCATCTGATATAATTAAATGACAATATCCAGTAATGTGTTTATTGTTATTACGTAACACTTGGATTGTCCATTATACTTGTTCTCGTGATTTTTAATAGATTCAATATTTATAAGAAATAATGCATAAATGGTAATTGATAAATGCTGGAAGGGAAATATCCAACATTCAATTGATAATTTGATATATATATATGTAGTTATATATATCAAAATGGCAAACTTGCAAAAAATTACAATTTTTTTTTTTTATATAACACATTTGTGATTTAATATGACACATGCATGCATGCATATATGATACTTGGTTTTGAGCACATCACATTTTGTCTTGAATATTTAAAAACTCCATCAGCAAATCAACTCGTATATTACACCTTTGCCCATCTAATAAGAGGAAGCTTGTACTACCTCCGATCCTTTAAACAATAATTGAGGGTAGGAGAAAGAGAGTAACAAGTGGGCGATGATTAAGAAAAAGTAGAAGGGATATTATTGTAAGTAGACCTAGCAATCCTGACTCGACCCGAATGACTTGACTCGCGACCCGAAATCATTGACCCAAACCCAAACTAACCCGACCCGACCCAAAATGGAGTTGACCCGAATGTGACCCAACACCCGAAGTGACCCGAATCGACCCGACCCGAACTGACTCGATTCTGCAGTGAATAGGGTGAAATGGTGAATTACTTAGTTTAGAGCTTCTTTCTTTCGTTCCTAAGTAATAGGTACTCATCACGATTTTATTTTTAACGATTTTACTTTATTTTTTCAACTTTTTTTTTAAAGTGAATTTATTTTGTGACTCGATACAAACTTGACCTGACCCGAACTAATCCGACCAGAAATTGACCAGAAAATTGGTCCTAAAAATTGACACGACCCGAAGGAACTCAACCCAAACTTGACCCGACCTGAACTTAACCCGAAGTGCTCATCTGAATGTGACCCGATCCGAACCCGACCCGAATATTTGCCGACCCGAAAGTGACCCGACCCGACCCGAACGACCCGTTTGCAAGGATTAATTGTAAGTGGGGTTATGTATGGTAAAATAGGAAGTGTGTTGTAAATGAGGTTCATGAAAGAAAAAATTTGGAAAAGCAAACCTACTTGTGACTAAAAACCAAGCCCTAACAGATTGTCTATTCGTTTATACCTCCAAATTGATAAAAGGTCAATGTTGAAGATTTGAACCAGACAAGTTAAGTAATGCTTGGGTATATAGATGATAGTAACATAAGGTAAGTAATAAGATTCTTCCTCTCTCCCTTAGGCATCATTAACAGCAACATTAAGGCTACCTTCTTACAAGAAGATAGAAGGTGAAGTCTCCCAGGCTGACCAAACAGCAGCAGCAGCTATTTGGCACTGCTAGTATATAGCACAGGATGTGTCACGGGTGTGCTTCCAAGAGTTCCTACTGGGATCAGGTTTTTTAAAGATCTGATGGTCAATGCTAGGAATATGGAAAGATCTGCTCAGAAGTCATACTACTGATCACCAGATTCCCACCTATGACATCTATAAAATAAACCAACAAGGAGGACAATAAGGTGGCCAAGACCTTAGCTCTTACAAATGTTGATTGATGCCTTTTCAAAACCCAACCATGTATAAAAAGGCTCAAGGCGCACCAATGTATTTCAGAGCTCCCTGTGCCTAAGGCGTGCCTTGTGAATTGAAGCGCATATAATAAACATTAAAAAATAAAAATAAAAACACTTCAGATATACAGCATTGTTCTGCGCCTCAGTGGGCCTTAAGCTGTGCCTGCCTGTGCCTTAGTGTGCCTAGGCACGCCTTCATGCACCTTAGCTGCGCCTCATCAAAATCACCTTGGCTGGAACACAAAAGGCAAATGGCCCCTAACGACTTGCGCCGAAGGCGCGCTTTTTCAAACACTGGGCCCAACAGAAGGAAACCACTACTACAAATTTATACAGAAACTAATTTAAATAATCCGCAAAATTCCAGGGATATATAATATACAAGAATCATTGCATTAGAATATAGGTGAAGAAATAAAAGAATATGATAAGTTCGTCTTATTAAAAGTATGTGCTTACCCTAGATATCACGATATTTTTTCATCAAAAAGACTAAATTCATGTGCACATTCAGAGTAAAAATATAGAAAAACCTCAAACAGCAGGCTCACCTTTCTAAGAGCATTAATGAATGGATCAGTTTTTGGAAGGAAAGGGGCAACTCGAGGTGTCCGTGATAAAAGGCTTAACCATGACACAATGTAAGATGGATTGACTGCTAGGCTACTGTCTTCTGCAAAGATCTGAATATTCTTTTCTTCAAGCCCATATATATGCCTCTGCTCAAGCGAAAGTAAAACAAAAAAACACATCAGAATGCTGGTGCTCACTCTAAATATTATAAGAATAAATTTGTATAATACAAATAAGCAAGAACTGCTAGCTATAAAAAAATAGGGATGGCCATAAGCTTAGACCTCAGGCAAAGGAAAAGTAAGGCAAAACAACCAATACATTGCTAACAATAGTCAAACGTGAAGCTAATGTTTGATACATATCTGATGTTTACAGGGAAAAGAGGATCACAATAAAGCTAGTAAGGCAAGGTGCGTAGCGGCACAATTAGTTCAAATTCTTACAAGGGAAAGTTTGATTCAACCTGCATTTCTACACAACTTCTGTTTGTAACAGTTACAAGCTGGCCGCCAAGGACTGGATTGTGAGTTACTATATTACAGATTTACAGTAATTAGACTTAGTGAGGACATGCATTAATTGGAACACTTTGTTAGGCAGCTAGTACTTGAATAATAATTAAGATTCTAGACCCAAAATTCTCCACACAACGTTCTAGCATTATAAACACCCCCAAAATGCATTTCTAAACAAATAAATAACAGGAATTAATTTGATTTATAAATACTTTTGGAGACACTCTCCATCAAAAAGTCCCTGCCTCTTTCCACATTTCCTTTATCCTCCTTTATTTGGATAGCTAAGGTCCTGGAGAAGGTAAAACCTATGTGGATGGCTTGTTCTCTAGACTCAACACCATTGATGAAATAATGATCTGCAAATTCAGCAGCCGAAATAATCATCGAGGTGTGTGTGCTTTGTCTACAGGGTCATCAGATGGGAAAACATCTTCTCTGGCAGTTTGTGGGCAGTTAAATCATGTATTATGGTTTCAAGTTAAATATGAAATTTCCAAAGAAATAGAGGAAGCTCTTTCCTTCGTAGAAACTCGGTAAGGACTTTCTGGGGCCAATCTTAAAATGGCATTTTTTTTTAAAAAGGATAACTTGTCTTCTAGCTTTAATTTCATTACTTTTATTTCAAAATATCACAGGCAAACAAAAGAGCCAGTTTGGTGGCAATCAATAAACTAGTGCAAAGGTGAACTTAAGTACTGTAAAGTAGAGCTACAAGCCCACCAATTCTAACTGAAAAGCATAGACTTACCGCAAGACTCTCTGCCACTAATTTGACACCTCTGATTACAGCAGTTTCATTAACCAAATGCCTGTACAACAATCAGCAATTATAGAAGGGGACCACTTTCAGAATGGACAGATCATATTTCAGGAAGGTGGAGTTACCTGTTATCAGAAAGACCCCCAAAATTCTCCAGAAATTCAGGTGCAGAGGAGAGTTCTGAAAGCGTGGCTGCTGTCACTCTGAGCCTTGAAAATTGTTCGTGCTCCCAAGCTACCTACAGCAAGATAAGAGGTTCAAGCCGTTCAACAACGAGTCTAGGCACTGACTCAGAAAGGATAACCTAGGGACATATCCCTAGTTAACTGGCTTTTTGACCCATTGTGTGAATAATCTGATGTGACCTAGTAAAAACCTTGACTGAAACTAAAAATTGACAATATTATTCTGTTTAATTACCATCCATATTAACACAGGCCTAAGAAAAAAAATTGTCAAATTTTTTTCACCACTCCAGAACCTTTTGACTGTGAATTCCGTAAAGCTCATTCAATATTATTACAACAGACAATTCAAAGCAGCCAAAGCCCATACAGAATGGGAGTTTCTAATTTTATAAAATCCCAGGTACATCCTTATTATTAGATATGAAATTTTAGCAAACCAACTTACTCGAGGATTTGAGATGTTTATTTTCTTGTGCTTCAAACCAACCTTAACCCCCAATTCTCCAGCAACATCAGAAAAATCCTACAAAAAGGAGGAATTTCAAGCACTAAGACATGCAGCAGAATTAAATAAGATTTTAGCTTAATGCCATGCTTAAAACTCAATGTACTTACTTTGAAAATTTGCTTTACGTAAGCATTCTCTGGAGGTTTCGACACATGAAGCCACAATTCATTGTCCCATGAGCCAATACTATTCAAACAAATAGCATAATCAATACTCTCACGCATACGTTGGTCTAAGCTCCGGAGCCACTGCCAATTTAGATCGAAGACCAAGATTAATGTTCAGACAACTGAAGCTTTTGACACATAAACAAAAGAATTTGAATTATGGAATACGTGATGAGGAGAGACAGAGATTCAAGCAGTCAACATAAAGGCAAATGTTGATGCTCAGAAGATACCAGAGTTGCTAAAACGGAAACGAGAGTGATTTTGGAACTAGAAAGAGAATTTTATGGAAGATATGATCACCAAACTAAAGTACCTTTTGAGTACCATTATAGTTGTAAGGTCCACCAGAGGTCAGCCCAAAAAGTAAGTTGTATCTTCCTCTTGTTTTTGGGTTTGAGTACAAGGCTGAAAATAGTCGTGCAATTTCCAAAAGTGCCACAACACCACTTCCATTACTGTCACTACCCACTGACAGTGTCTGTCAAAAATAAGTTAAGAGGTCTTCAAAGAGGACACTAGATGAGCATTCGAAAGTTTCATATATGACTATCATAGTACTCACTGGTGCAGCCCCAAATGTATCATAAGGTGCAACTATAGCAATTGTTGGGATTTGGTTGGAATCTCCTTCCAGCTTCAATCCTGGCAACCATCCCTGCAGCACCAAGAACTATTTAGCAATATAATAATTAAGAATATGCAAGCTTTAGGCTCCATTAGATTCGATGCAACACATTTTCAATGAAAAATGATTTTCATAGAACACATAATTTCAAGGAATATTGCATATCAGTTTTCCTTTTGTTTGTTTCCTTACAAAAAAAGTATAGAGAAATTAAAATAAAAATATAGGGGTGGAAAGGTGAGGATATTTGAGAGGAAAGTAAAAAGGAGGTAAATATGAGGGAGGAAAATGTGGTTTTCCTTCTTTTGTAAAGGAAAATGTTTTCCACCATTGAAGTGTAATTTTCCACCATTGAAAATTGTTTTCCTCTTCATGAAATAAACAAAAGAAAATGAGGGGAAATGGGAAAATCATTTTCCATGAAAACATTTTAAATCAAACTAAACACAACTTAGATAATTCGACAGCATAAAATCAACATATCCAAGTCATTTTTCAGATGTCATGTTTCATCAGATAGATAAGCTTTCACAAGAAAGAGCAATTGGTAAAATAAGTAGGCTACAAGGTACATTTCAAAAAAGTCTTAAACAGGTAAAAAACAACTGCTTGCATGAAAAAGACGTACACAGGAGACCAGAACAGCCCATAGATAATGTTAGAGAATGTTACGTAATCAATAAATCTTGGAAAAATGTTGACTGTAGAACTGAAAGAAGATCGCAATATAACTTAGCAACCTAGGAGTTTACCTGAATGTTTGTAATGCTCGGAGAAGAAACCTTCCTTGCTTCCGATGTTGAAACAACAAGCTTGTACCTGAAATATTCCGTCAAAAGGCAACGGCTCAGGAGATATTTGACTAGATAACAAAGAGAAAGGTGGAGGAAGAGTAAGAATTCTGGTTCTTGGAAAGAAAAGAAAATAAAAAGGCATCCGTGAATGTAAATCACCAAATTATCAAGCAGTAAAAAGGAACGGTTTTCCCATGTTTAAAGACAGCAAATAAAATATCTACAAAGCACCGAAAGAAAATTAAATTATGCAAAAAAAACTATACAACAGGCAGGTTTTCAATATAGTAAAGCTATAATTACTTGATAGGAATAATTCAGTGAAAATGGCAAATTTAATACTACACTAAAAGGATCAGCGTCCAGAGCAGGGTCCCCTAAACCTACTTGCTGGAAAAGGAGCTTCAAAAGAAAGGCACAGCAGAAGAACAATAGACTCACCCGCCAGTAGTTGCTGTGGCAGGCTGGCCAATCACATCATTTCGTTTAACATCAGCCAGCACAGCCTTGATGTGCTCATCCTCAAAGGCAAAATAGACAGGATACTGCATAAAATGAAACTAATAAGCTCTGGAAGATTGGGTGATTAATTATTACTTTTTCCTTTGCACTTATAGTAAAACAGAAACATAGATGCCATTAAAATCTCAGTATTCAGAAACATATTGCCAGCATTTAGTAAGCCCAAATGCGAAAAAAATCTAAAACTATTCTTTAAAAGTGCAGATGAATATAGGCATGTATGATTATAGTATACATAAATGCGAAAAAAATCTAAAACTATTCTTTAAAAGTGCAGATTAATATAGGCATGTATGATTATAGTATACATATAGAGTATAATCATTTAAAACATCCGTGATCATATGCACAACAATGAGAGTGATGATAATTTGTGAACTCACAGGTATGTTGGCATGCACCAGCAACCTTTCCAACAGCGCCAATTTGTCTCTCGTTTCGGAGTTGTGATCAGCATCCTGTTTGCTTTCCTTATCTTCGGAACGGAAAATTGAAGGCAGCAAAAACAACAGACCGCCCAGGGGCTGTTTCCGGTCAATGTAATCTGCTTAGAATTGAGTATATAAAAACAATGCGCGATTCAATAAAGGTTGAGTTAAAAGCACTTAACAGCCAAAGAAGCAAAGTTAATTATAAAACCATCATAGGACTATGATATCATATCATTTGGTACATGACATGACACGACAGGACACAACACGAGACGAGGTCAAACTAAGAGCAAATTGATAAACCTTTAACGGAGGAAACATTAAGGTCGGCAATTGGAATGATGACAACAGTGCGGGAGAGATCCGCATTGGGAGCGGTGAGAGATGAGCCAGCGTGATGATTAAGATTAGCAATACGAGATCCAAAAGGTGCCCCGGCGAGATCGTACTGAATGAGACGGTATACGTCGACAGCGGTGGCGGCATCTCCGAGCTCAACGCAGGCTAGCACCACGAAACACAGTGCGATCACTGAGCTTAATATCTCAAGTTTACACTCTCCCCGCCTCTCCATTACTAGATGGAGATCCAGATACACAGATTCAAATCTTAGGGTTTCTGTGCTTCGTCTCGTCCCTTGACTTTACTTTGATCTATTCTTAGCCCAAACTGCTGGAACACTTCGTTAGTTGCAAAGTAGTGGAGTAGACGAGTACAACTTCTCCGTTTCTTTTTTTTTCTTTTTCTTTTACTTTTTCTTTTTCTGGTAGATAAATCTACCAGGTCAAAATACCTCACAGGTTAACCTAATCCTTATAAGTAAATTATCATTAGTGTGGGTTCTCAATGTTAGGAAATTTATCTCAAATGGTTGTAAGTGTGGATTCTCAATGTTAGTATTAACTTACTATTGGATATATGTTAATGTTGTTTTTTAAGTACTTATCTTATACCCAATACATTTTATAAACAACATAAATCCAATATTAAAAAAAAAATTAAAATTGTGAAAACACACTTATTATTTGGACTAATCCAATATATGTTTTTATTTGGTATAAAACTATAAATCTTTTTAGAGAGTTTTTAGCTTATTTTGCTCTATTAGAGGTTTGATCATTCAAATAAGATAATATGGGTGTTGGTAAATAGCTTATTAAAAGAGATTTTTGAAAAGCTATTTTAGAAATAGTTCATTATAAGAGTTTTTTCAAATTAGCTTATTGAAAAATTAGCTTTTTGGTTTGGAAAAATTGCCCGGAATAATCCCACCTTTGGGCCGTCCGCCGAAAATAATCCCACCTTTGGATTATTTTTTAATAATCCCACCTTTACCCCCCGATCTTTTTAAATGGTTCCAACCGGTAACTTAACTTGTTGTAGCAAGTCACTTAACACGTGTCGACACCCGATTAGTCCAAATAATAAAATAAAAAAAAAAGATAAAAAAAACAATTAATTAATAATAAAACCACCCACCAGCCAAACCACCTCCCCTGCCACCTATCCCAGCCCGCCGACCTCCCCAGCCACCAACCCGGCGCGGCAACCTCCCCCTTTCCCGAATTCCGGCATCCCCATCCCGATCCCAACCCCCTCCCCGTCCCCAATTTCGGATTTTCCAACTCCCATGCCCCCTCTGACCGCGTCGACCTCTCCCTTTCCCGAATTCCGGCATCCCCCTACCCTCGAAAACCCCTTCCCCATCCCGATCCCAACCCCCTCCCCGTCCCTTAACATCGGCTTGGTTGGGGTCTTGTTCGGTTGGCTGGGGTCTGGTTTCGTGGCAGTGGTGGCTTTGGGTTTGGGTGGGGTTTCGAATGGGCATGGGGTTGGTGGGTTTCGAAAGAGTTTTGGGGTTGGTTGGTTCCGGTCGGCGTCGGTTGGGAGTGGCGTTGCGGTTTGGTGGGTTGCATTCAGGTGGGGATGGTGGTGAGTAACGCTCAGGTGGGGATGGTGGTGGTTGAAGTGGTGTGGCTTAGGGGTGACTGGGGCTGGTGGAGGGGTGGCTGGATGGATTTATTTTTCATTTTTTTATTAAAATTTTTGGTCAAATTGTATAGTGACACGTGTATTTCACACCCAAAAAAAAAAATTAACTGGTCACCTGGGACCATTAGAAGCGGATTAGGGGTAAAAGTGGGATTATTAAAAAATAATCCAAAGGTGGGATTATTTCTAGCGGACGGGCAAAAGGTCGGATTATTGCGGGCAATTTTTCCTTTTGGTTTTTAAATACACTAAAACAACTAACAATAAACAGCTATTTACCAAACATTTTTACACAATTAGTTATTTATAACCAGCTAGGCAAACTAGCCAATATAACCAGTTAGTCAAATAAGCTACTAGCTAATTACAAAACAGGACCATAATTAGTCAGCCCATTTCTCTTCACACCTCTTTACTACACCAGTGGCCCACTATCCCCTCATCTCTCTTCTTCACTATCACAACTGTCTCCTCATCCCCACCACTCCACATCAACCCACTTGAAAATCTCATAACCTCCCTTCAAAACCTCCTCAAAATCCAACACACCTGCCTAAAGCCCATAAACTTAAGCCAAGGTTTCGAGAGTGGGTTTTTCAAGTGGTTTTAAAGGTGGTTTTGTTGGGGGTGAGATTTCTAGTGATTTTGGGGAGGAATGGAGTTCATTTTAAAGTGGTCAAGGTTAGCCCGGCCCAACCCTGCCCGATTTTGGGCAGAATTTTTCGGCCCTAGCCCGGTCCAAAAAAATTAGGAATGCGTTTTTATGTATATTTAGTTGTTTTTTTAGGTCCGCTTAAAAAATGGTCTGAAAAGGCCACACGGCCCGACCGTTTTGGGTGGGTTTGGGCACAAAAAATTCGCCACAAAGCTTGGCTCTACCCGGCCTGCCCCAAGAAATGGACTTAATTTTTAGCTTCGGCCCAACCCGACCGCCCAATGATCATTTTTAGTTCATTTCAATGGAAATGTGGAGTTTTGCTTATTTAAATTTGCCTCAATTTGACACATAAAACAAGTCACCTTAAATCGTTCATTTTAGAACAAAAATTGGACTCTAATTTATGATTGAACTAGTTTAGGTTCCGTGCGAACGCACGGTAATTACTAATACAATACGAAGTATAAAGAATTGAAAAAAGTTTTTTTTTTTTTTCATGTGCCATTTTACCTAATTTGCTTTTGGTAGATGTAAATATTACATAAGAAAGATTTGTTTTTGTTTTTATTTTCCATTGTTGTAAAACTTTTATTTTAAGACAATGAGAACAAAACTTGTGTAACAAAGAATTTTAACAATTCTCCATTTCATATTATTTGCATTTTTTATTTTTTTTTTACAGAAACTTTGGGGTATTATTCGTAATATAAAATATTTCAAAGTTCCAATAATATGAAATAGAGGTATGATTAGATTTTATTTAAAAATTCTCTAAAAAAATTATATATCACAATAGTTTGATCCCTTAAGTTAAATTAAATACTTATTTTTCCCCCAAATATTCTCTTCCACATAATAAAAGATGGAGTATGTTATATATTTAAAACAAAATTGAATTGAAAATTTAGTGCTTGTTTGGCATTATTTGTGGTTTTCAGTATTCTGTTTTTTTGAAAACCAAAAAGCAAAACACAAGAAACAAGAAAAAAGTGTTTCCACTAATCAGTTGTCAATTTTCAAAATTATCATGATTTTAATAAGTTTAATTCATTTTTTATTCATTATGGGGCATATATCATATACTTATAAAAACCAAAAAACAAAAAATCACAATAATGTCAAATGAACCCTTGGTTAAAAATTATGATTGCAAAGTAGGATGAAATAAAATAGATTGAAATGTAACATGTATGTATGTAGTATATATGGAATAGTATCTATTTGTAGAAAACTAACAAACAAATAATTGTAGTTTTTTTTTACTAGGGGGCTAGAGCGCGCTACGGGCGCTTATGGTTTGTTAATCACGTTCGTTTGTCGTGTTTAGAAATTGGGCAATGTTGGGGGTTTTAACAAAATTGAAATGTATGTATGCTATGATTTCTAGATAAAATACAAAGTGTGTAGTTGTGAATTGTAATGTAAGGGAGTATTGAGGATTAGGGAAAAAAATAGTATAAGTATATGTAATAATATACTTTAGATTTTATGCATTTTTTCCTTGTGTATCATAAACAAAGTGATGTATATACATCATATATATTGATACGAAGTGTTAGAATATTATTGATGTAAAAATTGCATGTATATGTTATTTTAAAATTATAGATAATCTATATTACATGTAGAAGTCAAGTAATCTATTAAAGATTCACTTAAATTTATAAGTTGGAGTTAGAATGCTAGGTATTGAATTAGGTTGGATGTTATTGTTGACTTTTGAATATAATTATTTATGGTAGATGTTAGAGTTTGTATATTATGCATTGAAAAAGAATAATTGGTGTTGGAGTTATGGGTGACTAATGTGTTGTTGATTGGAGATTGGAATGCTAGGCATTGAATTAAGGTGGATGGTTATTGTTGACTTTGGAATATTATTATTTATGGTAGATGTTAGAGTTTGTGTATGTATTGAAAAAGGTTAATTAGTTTTGGAGTTATGGGTGACTAATGTGAATTGGTAAATGATATTTATTGTAGTTTGTCTTAAGTTTGAACGTTGTGCTTTTAGTGTTTATTTGTGTATAAATAATGGCTAAGTAATTGTAGTTGTTTGCATGAAAAAGTGAATTATTTGAAATGTGATGGCTAGTAGAGGTGGTGTGTATGGGCGCAAGCCTTTTGTGCAAGGGTCTCGGGAAACAATAGCCAAAACACATGCGTGGTTGAATGATATGGCAACCAATTGGGAAGGGATGTTTTTTAAGTTTGTGTTTTCTAAAGCATATTATGATCAAGGAATTATTGTAAGTTTTTGTGAAACTATGTTTACATAGTGATTATTTTTCATGGTTTATTTTTTTTGTTGTGTTGTTAATCATGTTTGATGATTTGATGCAGAATGTTCCGTTGGGGTTTGCTAAAGCACACTTTGGCTTGTTTCCAAAATCAACGGATGTTGTTGTGCAACTTTATGATACTCGCTTTGATGCTCAGCTGAAAATCAATAGGCGTGATGAAAAGCTTATTTAATGTTTCATCAAAAATGGAGTTGATGTTGCGATTGGCTATTATGAAATACAAATTGATGAAGGAGCGATTATTAGTTATTTTCATGGAAATCCTATAGTATTCGATGTCACATTACAATTGAGTGATGATTCTTAATGTAGTGTGTTGGTAGAATAATAACTTCTTATAGTGTGAATAAGAGTGTTATTATTAGCTTATTGTGTTATGAAATAACAATTACAATAAGTTAAGTGTATCATCATTTTCGCACACATTTCGGTATTTTAATATGTTATACACATATTTTGGTATTGTAATAAATAGAAATTATAAATCAATTTAGATATGTATTTCATGAGTTAATTGGATTATCTAATAAAAAATTGTAATACATTCTAATATAAAAGGTTTTTTGACATATGTGAAGAGAAAAAAATTATCCGGGATTATTTATATGTAGGATTTTTTTTTAACAAATTTTTTTTTTTTAAAAAAAGTTACTTTTATAATCGAGTGTTTGCGCGAATAGGTGCATTGTATGAAATAGTGTAATTTTTCTTCTTCTTTTGCATGGTATGATAGACAACTGAAAAGACATTTACGATAATTGATGGTTTGCGTTGCTTGAAAACAGAGAAAATAATCATCATTTTCTCACATTTTCCCAAACTCGTTTTGCATTCTTGAAAGTTGAATACCCTTCCTCTCAATTTCTCCCGTTTCATCTTCTCCATCTGCACACCTAATTGAAAGATCTAAACAACACCATGTCTGGATTTGATGATAGTAATAACATCTTTGATGATTAGTATCGGAATTTCCTTGTCAAGCGCAAAGACAGCCTTCGTGGCCAGTTTGTGGCTTGGGGAGGAATTCAAACACAAGCTAAAAAGAAGATGGATGAAGTGCTTGATGAGATGAAGGACTGTGATGCGCAGATAGCAAAGTTTGATGGGGTGGCTAAGAGGAAAAGCAAGGCCAAAGAGAAAAAGCCAGGAACGCAGGGCAAGAAACCTGAACCCGGAAGCAACTATGAAACTCCAATCAAAGTCGACAGCGATTCTGATGATGACGAAACACCAGTGAGAATGATAAGATATGTTGGTGTGCAAGGTGAGCCGTCTAAATTCAGAGGTCAATGCAGTGGTACTAAGTTGGTGTTTGGTGCTGGGGTCGAAGGAGGGGAGGTTGATATGGATATCAGCGAGGATGACGGTATAGTGAAACATGTTATTGAGTCAACAGTGGGTGCGTTTGCTGAAGCAGAGGAAGAGGAACATGTTGTTGGGGTTCAGGGTGTTGGTGCAGCGCAACAGAGCCCACAGCAGCAGCAGCAAAGGGATTCGGAGGAGGAGGATGCAGATGAGGAAGAAGAGGCTGAGGAGCAAGGTGATACTTCTGAGTCATCTAATGGTCATCCTTACCATTATTATTCTCCGGATATGTCTGAAAGCGATGATGAAGCTTATGGGTTTGATTCTGATTAAGATTCAAAGCTTTCTGTGTTTTTGTTCAGTGAAGTAGCTTTATGTTAGGTCTTTCTTATTTATTTTCAGACACTATCTATTTTGAACCTAAGTTATGTATTTATGTTAGATGTATTGATACATGATTGTAGGGGTCTTTTGTTCACAAAACATGCTTTGTGTAATATAAATTGATAAGCTCTGGGTTTGTCTTTCACATGAACTGTGGAGCTGAGTGATAGGGTTACTTAGTGTAAATTAATTACCAGATTTCCTGTCACTCAAAATCCCTAGAATTTAATTTAGTCTGATAATTTTGGCAATGAGCTTTTGCTGCAGAATTTTGTATGCATTTCAATTTTAAATGGCTTATTTGAAATCGATTGAAGGATAGGGTAAGTTGTTCAACTATTCTGTCAAATTATCAATAATTACCAGTCCATTTATTAGCTGAATCACCAGCAAATTATTAGCTGTAGAATGGTAAGAATGGAAGCAATCCATTTTGATATAGGTGAATTTTCAGAGTTGTAGAATGTTTGGCAGGGAAAATCAGTTGAACATTGAAATCATTCACAAACAAAGAGTGTATGATCTTTCAATCTATGTAATGCTGGCAGAATTTTGGTGCTGTGAATTCGCGTAGAACAAGTACATATCAGGAAGCCTATTTTGTTGTAGTTCTAATACTAATTTCTAATAGCCATGACTTGTTTAACTAATGGGATTTTTCGTTAAAACTAAAAAATACTTGTCCTAGAAAAACTCAACCGAAATTTGTTGCTTTAGCGTGCTATACGGCAATGTAGTTATTAATAATATTTAGACGATGCATTTTGAGAGCTTTAGCACGTAAAAACTAAGGAAAAAATTGCTAGAAAGCCGTACACATTAATTCGGAAGAACTAAAACAAAATTAGTGATTATGTGTGATATTTGAAGGGGAAAGGCAAGAAGATTGACTATTAGTAAGGAAATTTTTAAAAATGGTAGAAATAGCTGCTAACTGACACAAATCATGCATTGACTGTGAAACATTAGAGTATATAGTACAAGAAATTTCTGAATTGAAGCCTTAGTTTAGTATGCAGCAGATAATTTTTTTTACAAATTGAGCGAAACTGCATGTAAGACAAAACAGCAACATACAAACAAAAGCAAGATTTAAGTGCCAATCAAAAGCAAGTCTTTTTGGCAGGTGATTAGAGAATAGCTAACTTGCTAATAGCAATTACTAAGGTCTCAAACAAGAACACAACTCAAAATGATAAGCAACGCTCATCGAGAACGATGTGTTCTGATGTGAGTCCGTAGATCAGCAGACTTAGTATTCTCTCGCGGGAAATTGACTGCACTACCCACCTAAGTACCCCTGCCCTGTTCAAGGACTGTGCTGGGTGAATTATGATGTGCATTGGTGTGTTCTTCAGTGCTGCAGCAAGGTGATCAAAGTCACTCCAATCATCCTAAGATAAATAGAATAGAAGAAAGTGTCATGGCAAGAATAGGTTTATATAAGCGATTTTATTCAATAAGACACTTGTTTGATTAATTAGGCACCTTAATTTTCCTCTCAAAAATTTCTAATGTAGGCAACTGGAGGATTTTCTCACATACTGGACCAAAGGCAGTCAGGCGGAATGTTCCAGTATTGTCCGCTGCATCAAAGGTGAAATTAACTCTGCAATGGCCTGGAGTTAGTGCTTTAAAATTGAGTGTAGTAGTTAGCTGCATAAAATAAGCATGCTGAAAAGAAAAGTGCACCTTTCAGTGGAAGTGCATTTTTTGTTAGGGCAATGTGGACAAAAAAATGGTACATTTGCAGCAACTCCACAGCGTTTACCACAGCCATCACAGCCAATGTAAGCAATGACATTGCTTAGCTGTGCATCAGGAATTGTGACAGTGATTGTGTACACCTCTTCTTGGACAGTGTTGTCAACCTGGAATATTTAGGGTGAGTTAGAAAATTAAGTGCTGGTGGCAATGGGATAGGGAGTAGTTGCCAAAGAGGCTCACATTTTTTTTGATGATCTGATCAAGTGTTGTAGGAACTGGTTCAACACCAACAGTCATGAATTCGAGTTGCCTGGCCATATAGTCAGTAATGACATCTGGATGTGCATGAGCCCTATTGACAGTAAAAAGGGCAGGAAGCAGTGAATTGAACTAAGGAAGCTAAATATAATTCTATAATCACTACTACAAAATGCGTGTTTTTTGGATGCTTTTTAGGTCTTTTTTCGACGCTAAAAAGCGTCGAAAAATAATTTCTCGACGCTGCAAAAAAGCGTCGCAAAAGTCGAAAATTTTTCGGAGACACAAAAAAGCGTCGAGATTCTCGACGCTTTTTATCGTCCAAACTAATATACGAAGCGTCCAAAATTACATATTTTGCGCATTATCCCAAATGTATGTAGTTTTTTAGCGACGCTTTTTCCTGTCCACATAATCAAATTTTGCGACGCTTTTTGTTGTCTTGCGTTTATTCGTGTCAGCCTATGGTATGGCGGGAAAGTCTTTGATATTTGAAAATGTGCAATTATGTAGACATTAAAAAGCGTCTAGATTTATTTTTTAAGCTTTTTTTTTTTCTTTTTTTTCCTTTTATTAAATTATTACCATCATACATACATTATAGTTATTTAAATCTATCATAAACTAAATTAATAACATTAAAATCAAAATAAACAAATATTCAATATAACAAGATCAGATTAAAAAAAAAACAATAATTAATCAACAATAATAAGAGTATGTTGCTAACAATTACCAAATTTATAAATAAAAGAAAACATCAACACAATTAACTAAAATAAAAAAAAAGTCGCATATTATATTAGCTTGTCCCTAAATAAATACATCACTAATATAAATAAGACTAAAAACCAAAATAGATAGATGATGGCGTTATAGACAATATAGTTGCTTGTTTTGAAGCTCAAGTGTCCCGACCTATTCTCTTGTTGCTCCTACATTGCCTTTTCCAATCTTAAAAAAAAAAAAACAAAGTATAAATTAGTACATTACACAATATAGCCTTATACACACACACACACACACACACACACAAGCTCAAAATTATATTGGCTTATACACACACACACACACATCACTTTCTCAGTCCAAAACTATCCCAGTTGCTAACAAAATAAAGAATTATATTGGGTATCAACAATTTTCCACAAGGAATGTAAAAGCAGGAACTGTTTCTGCTATATCAACTAATCATCTCCTATCAGCCTGAATTTTGCAGCAGCAAAGAGCTTTTCACATATTAGGTATTACAGCATGGCATCAAACATAATGTCTAAAAAACAAATGAACAAAAACTAATACTCTGCATTTCTCTATATGTGAAACGCATGGCATCACTTCAAAGTTTCAAACCTAGGTTTTGTTACTGGTTATTATAATAATAACCAGTCTTTTTTCTAATTAACTTTGGCGCTATTGTTTAGTCCTAGATTCTTGCTTCTGTCTGAGTAAAAAAAGTGGACATAATAAAAAATTTGCTTCTACAAGAACAACTATTTGTAATGAAGACTCTTCTAAACCCCCCCCCCCCCAATAAGTGATAAATGGGCTTATCTGTGGACAGGACAGCGCATGATCAACCAAAGATCTCTAGTTTCACTATCTCGCAAGCAAGATGGGACTTTCAGCCAAACTAATTTTTCCCAGATGGAACAGAAAGCAATGGACAAGCATTTCTGATTCTTGCAAGGGAAAATGATTACATATTCAGTGATTCATTGATATTATAATTGAAGGGTGAAGTAAATGTATAGGCATCTGATGTTTCAAATCAGGATTAGTGAACGTTGAAGAATATGCAATGAATGAGAAAGAAGGATAAAAACCACTCAACCCGGATTTCTATTATAAAATTAGTACAAGGAGAAAGAAGAGAGTAACAGAAACTTTAAAATATTATTCTTTCAATGGTCATCATGCAAGAGCACACTACATAATACACAGCACAATGCAAATGAGCATATATAATCAAAGTAGATGTTGTAGTTGGTAGCATGATTATACAGAGCACTACAGGTTTTGTTATCCCAATTAACCAAGTCAATAGATGGCTAAATGAAGCCTCATCTTCTACATAATAAAAATTTTCTTAGCATATTTAGGTTCAAAGCACGGTGGTGTTCCCAATGGGTGGGAACTAATGGATCAGATTTAGAAATGGAGACTCAATGGATTCTCTTCGAAGTTCCTGAGATTAAGTCCAGATCAACTCAGCAGATAAAGATACAGCACATCACTTCATTATATCTCAAATCACTAAAGATTCATAATTTTCGTTGTCATACCCTTTTACCAGATGCAAAAAGAAAAGACACAACCAACACATGAAACTATTTGATTAGGAAAATTTGGACTGACTTGATCTCTGTCAAGGAAGTTCCACTACAACCTTAATAAAGTTTATTCAGTAATTAAATTTTGTACTACGTATAATAAAGCTTTTGTACAGAAAATTTTCACAATAGATATTATAATTATATATTATGTTCACAAGAAATTTGCATATAGGATATTATTAAAAATTGTGCATGCACCAGCTTAGATATAGTTTGTATAATTTAATATAATGTTCTTAATTATGCTATTTCTGTATTATATCTGGAGTACATGGAAAATGATAAATCATCTCCAACTCTTCCAATAGAGAAAAAAACAAACAAGTGATCATCACATATATTCCTAATTGTGAATAAAAATATTAGTTCTAAGTAGGCATGCAGACTAAATCTATTTAAGTAGGCAACTAGATAGTCAAGAAATAGCACATCACAGTAGGTAATCACAATCAAATAATCAACCAGCATATCTGCATTAAATAATCAGCTTGTAATCCACTTTTCCTTTTCATTTATCACATTAAGAAATAGCACATAACAGTAGGTAATCCACACAATACAGGATTTGAAAAGTTTAAGAGTTTTTTAGTTCTGGATTTCAGTTCTGAAATTGTTAAGAATATATAGTAAACAGCAAGTTACAAAACACAATACAGCAAGTTACTACACAATACATCAAGTAGCAGGGGAGCAGGGCAGACAAGCAGAATAAAAGCAGCAGGGGAGCAGGGCAGACAAGCAGTAGCAGGGGAGCAGGGCACACACACACACACACACACACATACACACACACACACACACACACACACACACACACACACACATCACAAGCAAGCATTCACACAAGCTCTGACTTTCACACACACACACAAGCTTTGAATTTCACACACACACACACACAAGCATTTTTGGATTGAAGTTCTGATTTCCATTTCTGAACTTCAGATCTGATTTTTAGCTCTGAACTTCAGATCTGAATTCAGTTATGGATTTCAGCTCTGATTTCAGTCATAAAGAGAAATGTGACTTTGTTACCTGATGTTTTGCCTTTCCTAAGAATTCAGATGCTTTGTCTAGAAGACCCGGAGATGCATTCCCTTGACCCTATAGTGTTTCAGATCTGAAACACTAATGTTCGTCAAGGGAATGCATCTCCGGGTCTCCTAGACAAATAGACTAGTGTTTGCTTTGTTGGAATTATTTTTACCCTCCTAAAACAAAATGAAAGTGTATACCAAGACAAATCAACAAGACCCCTCATAACTACGTAGTATATATTTTCTTCTATATAACCGCGATATGAGGTTGAATAGAAATGTTTGATGTCAAAAGTGCAAAAGTTGCAATATCTATACATCAAGAGATCTTTCAAGAAGATAAATGAAAGCCTTACATTTAATGAAAAGCCACAAGTACCAAATAACAGTAAACTCAGCTATACATTTAGTTCTATCATGATTACAAAATTAGGCAGAACACACAGAAATTAGCTACTTTCATTCACTATCTAAATTATAAATCTATTCAGATACTTCATTTCTTTTATACAGACAAATAAGTCATTCATAACAAAGAATCCTGAATATCAGAAAATTAAAGCAGTTTTGGATAATCTATGGGCATGTGCCCATTGCTGCCACATTGTTTTACTGATGGAGTGTCATGGATCCTGTGTATAGATCTTTTATCAAATCTTAATTCTACTTCGTCACTCACAAAGAAAAAGGTGTATATCCTTTGAGCAAGATGTGATACCCGAGTGTAAATTGTCCAGCTAGACAAAATATGCACAATGCGGAGATTGGCACTGAAAGTAACAAAATTCATGGGGTAAGGAATTGAAGGGGTCCTTGTAAAGACTACAATGATTCCCAAACATCATGCAATATGCATGTGTAAGAAGGGAAAAGCAACGAGTCAAACTCTATTTTTCCTACAATACAATAACGAATAAACTGAGAATATCAAAATATGATAGAAGAAAAACAAAGTGATCAAATCTTAAATAACTGAGCACCCAGATGGGGAAGCTGAGAGGAAAAGGAAAAAAGAACGATATGAACCACATTAGGTGGAAAAAATGGAATTGGGGAAACTAAAGACAAAGGATATTGCTAGATACAGTCCATGTAAAAACTACTGTGTTTCAACTTCCAATATAGCATATTTAAGGGGGAAATCATAAAGTTTGATTTCATCTCTGAGATAAAGCCCAATATTAGACCAAATTCACTGTCCCAAAATCAATCTCACTGTCCTCCTCTTATATATAGAGTACATTATTTATATGAGATTACCTGCTATGGCTCCCACACCTCAAAAGAAAACAACAATACGTACATTCTTAACAACAAGACTTGATTCATCAGCAGTTCCCAACCTAGGATCATATCCTGTTCACACTGCTGCCTTGGCTCTATACGTACATATCATAATAACGAACAAACAAACTTATACATTCTTAACAACAAGACTTGATTCATCAGCAGCAGGCCGTGAGTATTGGGGGTGTTGTCTAATGATTTATAAGGGAATGAGTATTGCTTCTAAGAGTAGAGCATGTGAGGACAGAATGCAATCATCAGCCACAAAATCACCATAGAAAAACAAGAAAATTCATATCAAAAACCCATAAAATTCATATCAAAAACCCATAAAATTCAAAGCCTACAAATTTCATATCAAAAACCAGAAAATTCATATATATCAAAAACCCATAAAATTCAAAGCCTACAAAATTCATATCAAAAACCAGAAAATTCAAAGCCTATAATATTCATATAAAAAACCCATAACATCCCAAACTAAAACCCTAAAACGCCATAAAAATCAAAACAAAAACCAAAAAACAATATGAAAAAAAAACATGAAAAATTGGATTTTAAAACAGAATTCACGAAAAAAACAACATAAAAAGAAATTAATTTATCTAATTAAGGGCAAAAAATTACCTCGCAATAAGAGATCGATTCTTGTTCTTCACCAACGCAAAATCGAAGAAGTGCAAACAAATAATTCCCAATTTTAACGAAAATTTAGAGAATTGTGATATATTATATGCCAAAAACGATAGAGAAATATATCTAGCAACAATATTGTTCAGCAAATTGTAAATTAATACCTCAAATTTGTGAAAGTGACGAGCCACAAAACCCCAAATTCCTTGAAATTTAGCAAGCAAAACCCAGAAATTAACCTAAAATTTGAGATTTTTTTTGTCGCTGATGAAAGTGATGATGGAGTCCAAGTTTGGAGGAGAGCAGAATAGAATATGGGCAGTTTAATTGGGAACCTTTTTTTTTTTTTTTTTTTTTTTTTGAAGACGTTTAATTGGGAACCTAATTCGACTGAGCTGAGGGTGAAAAAACACGAACCCGCTAATTATTTCATTAAAAAAATTCAAAATTGCGGGTTTCTCGACGGTTTTAAGTGTCGAGAAAATTTTCGCTACAAAAAGCGTCGCAAAAAGACGGAACCAAAAATTATAGACTGACGCCCCTTCAACAGCGTCGAACCAATTGCGTCCAAAAATCACTCTTTTTGTAGTAGTGAATACAATGTAATCTTAGTGCTGACCAGGAACACTAAGGTTGATTACTTACCAGGCTCTTAAAGCTTCAACTTTCTCACCAACAGGGGTTGGGTTAATTTCTGTAGACATACTTGATTGCAGAGAAAAGCCTGTGAAGATTGCATTAGTAATTTGATATTGCAGAACATTTAAAATAATAGATGGTGTAAATGTGTATAACCTCTGTGAGTTGCAGGCTTAAGAGAAGTTAAGCTTACAACCAAGGGGCTGGATGACCAATCCTTAAGGAGTTCACAATCAGAAGTTGCAAGCTGACCCCATGCAGAGATGATCATGGGTCTAGTACCAGTGCTGCAAGGGCAAGGGATTGTAAGCTTGTATTTTGGTTAGTATATTGGTAGTGGTGTTGTTAATGTGCAGCTGAGGTGTTACCTTTCATCAACAATGCTTATATCGCGCACATCAGCAACTCTGCCTGACTTGTATGTCACTTGGCGGACATCTTCCATGTGGACCACTACGCCTAGCAAATCTAGCAAACGGCAGCAAAAGAGTTCAATATGGCTAAGAGATGATGTGGTCTTAGGTAGTAAACACAAAGGAAATTTTCATGCAATGAAGACAATACAAGCAGCTTACCAAACCGATCATCCTGACCACTGGTCTTAGGGACATCAGCAATAGGGATGTATTCTGGCAATACAGGTCCTTCAGTTTGATCAACAAGTTGGATTTTAGTCATGCCTCCAAAGGTTAGCTCACATTCGCCTGGGAAGGAACTGAACTTGGGGTTTACGACTCTGACCGGAGCATTAGCAATTTCATACTTTTTCTTGTGTTCAAAGACTCTCTTGAAGTGGTCACATTCATCTCCGAACAAAGTAGCTTTCATGTTGTTTCCCTGCATTGCAAAATATTAAGCTGATGTGCAGTAGCATATGCTTATATATTTGAAAAGAAGAAGGGTAAATGGTAACATATACCTCATCGTCTTCGAATACCAGCTTTTGGAATCTTTTTTTGTTAGAGGAGATCGGATAGGGGACTTTTCTTTCACGGTAACCCGCACTTTGTATGCTTTCGTTATAGGTGAAAGCTTGTCCAAAGGAGTGTATTCAGGTTTCATCTGTGGACATGAGTTTAAATAAAAATGTTACATGGGTCTAAGTTGTTTTATTTTGCAGAGTCACACATTATTTGTTGTAGCTAACAATCTAATATGCTATAACTGGATTTTCAAATGTACAAATAATCTAGGATGATATCTGTTTTATTTTATTAACTCTACCACTTGTATTGAATGGTAAGGCACATGAGGGAATCTAGTATGAATAATTATTTTGGCAGGAACAGCTTTAACTTGCAGACAATAGAGTGACACTTAACCATATATAAAAGAAAGGTAAGTGTTCACAATTTTACAAGCCTTCCTTTTCATTTTTTCCCCTACAGTGTTGTAGCTTAGTGTTCTCGGAACAAAGTAGGCAACAATGTCCAGTAAAGCAAAGAGTAAGATGGAAAGCAGTAAAGAAGGTGATCTCCCCAACCAGAAAAGGTCAAGCCCTCTGGAGGAAAGGGTTGTTATTTTAGAGCAGAAGGTGGAGAACCTGGAAGCAGTTGTGCAAGCACTTTGCTTTGAGCCAGAAGATAAGCAGCCAAGCCCAAAGAAAGAAACTCCAACAGAGGGAACCAGCAAGCCTAAGATTATTCTTGGCTTGGATGACATCCACCACCATTCAAGCCCGAAATATTCACCTGAGAGTGATGCTTCTTATGGTGGTCGTTTCTAAGGGAGCTCTTAATTTATATCCACACTTGTTGTAGGTTTTTAGGCTTACTAATGCTGGTTCTTAACTAAAAAGGTCTTATTATTGTTGTTTTCATGTAATACCAGCTTCAAGCTGGATTTTCAAAGTGGGAGTAGCTAGTTGTTGTTTTTTATCAGTTGTACTTTGTCTTTAAATTTCCCAAGTAGTAGTTATTATTGCTATAAGTTGTATTTTCTAAGTACTAATGGTTATCTATTGGTGTTGTGTGGATTTATTTATTATGTTTGTTTTTACCAAAAAATAAGTTCTTTTTTTTCCAACTGCACATGCAAAACCTATTGTCTTCACTAATGCAGAACTAAGCAATTCTCTTTGAGATTGAATTTTAAGGCATGGTTTCCATGCAAACTTGAAGATAAAGAAAAGTTTAACCATTTTTAGATTGTGTATTGTGGTCCAGATAAATGAAGTCTGAATATGGCTAGCTAATACTGAGTTCTAATTAAGCAAATTCTGTAAATTTTTTGAATTGTCAGCATATTATCAACTAAGGCTTGTATAAAAGGAAGTGGTAACTTTAGTAAGGCAAAGCTTTACAGGTAAATGTACCAAAAAGAGCATTTTTATAAGCTTAGCATTTACATAATGAGTGTCAAAGTGTTAGTCAAAGCTAGTATAAAGGGCACTGATTATAAGTTCAGGAGAATGTAATGTGAAAGTTGTTTAAAGTGTACATGCAAATTTCGAAAGCTAGGTAATGCACCCTGTATAAATTAAGCAATTGATAAATTTCTAAATAATATTAGCTATAAAACAAATCATGATTATCTGTCATATAATTATACAAATGAAGTTTTAGGTACATGGTTTGTTAAGTGGCTTAGCAAGTAAGCTAGAGTGAGTGATTGTGTCCTATCTTTGTAAATTGAATCTAGACAACAGCAAGGCATTGCTAATTTAAAGCAAAAAGAAAATTACAAATGAAAAACTGAGTTTAAATTGAAGAGGAAAAGCATTTATGGACGTACCTTGTTAGAGTGGGTTTGCAAGCAGTTATTGCTAGATCACAGCAGCAGAAAACTAAAGTGACAGAGAGAAAAGCTAGAAGTAAATGTTCTCTGTGAAATATTATGATTTTAAATAGCATCAGAGGCTTCTAGACTTAACATGAGTCCTATTTAATATTCAGGGTATCTTGCTTTGGTGTGGACCTTTTTATTATCCAGCGGATTAAGAAGTGCATTAAGCAAGACAATGGCTAGAAACCTGTTGTGCAGTAAGTCTGTTTTTTCTGTAAAATAAAGTAGAGCATAGTATGGACCAGCAGTCAATAAGATGTGTGTGGGAAAAGTAAATGATGAAATTTGTATTGTGGGTAATAGAATGAATGATGTTTTGTTGCAATACAGCTGCAAAAGCAAAGATGTAATACAAAAGCAAAAATGAGATTTGTCTTTATAGCAAATCTGATTCATTTTTTTTAAGGGTAATAAGGTTGGAAAACCTATGATATTTCCATTTTTGTGTTACCAATTTCAATATACTTAAGATTGTATTTAAAAATAGAAAAGTGGGGAAAAAAATCACATGCAATAGGTGCAAAAGTAACTGTATATATCATATAACATAATACATGGCTGTAAACATAAATATCTCTAGAACCATTTTATTGTGCTTTAACACAAATGAGCTTACAAGAATTTAGAAAGCTTAACCTTAGGCTCAATTACATTATAGATATATAGAAGCAAAAGCACCTGCATTTGTAACATGGTAAATATTATGTTAGTTACAGCATGTAGAATAGCTGATTTAAAATTAGGCTAGCAGATTAAGTAATTAGGGAGCTATACCTTTACATTCCTGTATCATTTTATGCCAGATAATTGCAAGACATCATACGCTACAACGTTTTTCAGGACCGGTGAAGTGTGTTGTTCATTTGGGTATGGTGTGATCACAGTCACTTTAGCTGACTTCTTTGCCCTTGACAAGGCAACATATAGCTGTCCATGGGAAAAGCATGGTTGTAGGAGGTAAACTATCACTTGGCTTAGTGTCTGGCCTTGAGATTTGTTTACAGTCATTGCAAAGCTGAGTTTCAGAGGGAATTGAATTCGCTCAAACTGAATAGGATATTTTGTTGATGATGGAGGTCGGAGATTAACACGATGAATGAATACAAGCTCTCCTCGACGATGACCAGTGGCTATAGAACAAACAATTACATTCCTTCTGAAAGACTTGTATATAAGACGCGTTCCATTGCAAAGCCCATCTGCTGGATCAATGTTTCTGAGCAATATTACAGGACTGTTTATTTTAAGAACAAGTTCATGCGGAGTCATACCACCAGGGGCTAGCTAGTTTAGGGACTCTGTAGGGTAAATGGCACAATTGTCATCTAGCATGATGTCAAAGCTCATGTAAATTACAGAGTTTCCTGGAAATTTGTCTATGAGAACTGTGTTAATAGCATCAACTGTGTCATTCAATGGTGTAAGAATGGCTCTCTCTGTGAAGATATCTGGTGAAAATACTGCATTTTCTAATTTTGGAAATGCAGTAGCAGCTAGGTGATTGATAGGATCATCACTCTCATGATAATAACTCACAATGTGAGGAGGAACCTGAACATAAGCATTTCCATCAGATTGCAGCTGACCATTGCCCAAACTCAGCAGAAATGAAGCATATGGGGGATCTTCTCTTGCTCTGATGTTTTCAGTTAGGTGTAGCTTCTCTAGCCAAGGCCAAATATGTGAGTTTACCAGGCTTGCTGCAACAGCTTCTCTTTGAGTTTTGCGAGGAATAACTGGAAAAACCTGCCTAAAATCTCCCCCAAAAACTACAATCTTTCCACCAAATCGTTGTTCTGCGTCACAAAGGTTACGAAGCAAAAGCTCAACTGATTCAATGTTTTCTTTTTTAGCCATTGAAGCTTCATCCCAAATAATAAGAGTTGTTTCTCTGATTAAAGCAGCTAGGCTGCCTTGTTTGGGAACATCACAGGCAAGAGATGTCTCTGAATCCAGGGGAATCTTAAATCTTGAGTGCGTTGTTCTTCCAGAAGGGATGTTTGCTGCAGCAATCCCTGATGTAGCTGTTGGCAGAACAAACTTTCCTGACATGCGAACCTCTGTGTATAACGCATTGTATAAGAATGTTTTTCCAGTTCCTCCAGGACCATCAACAAAGAAACAGCCAGGCTTTCCTGATTGGACTTGAGAAATAATCCTGTCAAATGCAATTTGCTGAGCTGAGTTCAGTTTGCCTCTACAATCAATACACTCTTGAGGAATAGGTGCATCTAAGGCATCAATGATGTCTTTTGTTCTGTTCAGCTCTTCTGGCAGCTCTTCATGTAAGTGATCAAGATGGAAATGAGCTAATGATTTTCCCATAGACTCTAAATGCCGTTCAATTGACTGTATAGTCAGCAACTTAACACGGAATTCGCTCCCAGGATCAGCATGCCTGTAATCATCAGATAGGTCATTGTAGAATCGCTGCCACAGTCTATTTGGGTCAGTGGGGTTGCAGAACACACAAACAGCTGCAAATAAGCGTCGTAAGGCTCCTGGCAAGTGTATTTCTGTTGCTTCAGCCAAGCATGCATGAACAACATTGTCTTCTTCACATAAGCCTCTTTTAATAGCTGCTTCTTGAAAAGTGGCGCAAAGTAATCCATTAAAAGTCCGAAGATTAGTGAATGACTTAGGGCTGCGTACATTAACAAGCAACAGCCGTAAGAAAAATCGCTCTCCTTTTGCTGGTGTCACACTTGCCAGCCGACCAACCACAAGTTTCTTGTTTTGCTGTTGAAACCATCTTTTCTTACCGGAATCCCATCTGTTGTGCTCTATAAATTCGATGTAAAGGTATCCTGTACCTTGAGGTGAGGCTGCATTTGCCTTAAAAAATTCTGACAATTGAGTTTTGGATCTACGCTCATTTAGCATGGCAGAATCTAACTGTTCATGAGCACGTAACTGAACAGTTTGCATGTTTTCCAGATGCACTGCCAATTGTTTCACAGGTGGGTACATCTCAAAGAGATCAAAGGAAAAAATTCGCCAAGCTGCCTCACATGGTGACACCCATCGTCCAGACTGAAACCTCTCTATTTCATCTTCAGAATTTTTTTCTGTACCAACCACATTGAAATAAACCCTATCATGGCCCTTATAAACATACTTGTACAGATACTTCACAACCTTAATAGATGAGCACACTTCTACATTCAAATGGAAATCAAATAACATTGAAAGGTATGGATTGTATGGAATGACCAAGCGGTTATCAAGGCTTGCACCCCTTATTCGGACACTTTCTCCTGTATCTCTTCTTTTGTACATGGGATATCCATCATCGTGGTTCGTTGTTTCATGTAAAAAAAGTTTCGGGTAGCCATTTTACAAGATAGGGGAGAATTGTGCTTTGTAGTCATGCATGCACATTCAGGGTTAATTTCTCCACATGGCCCATGCATCATATGCCGTACCACAATCTTCCGAAGTTCTGGGGAGCTGTGAGGTGGCAGCTCTGCAGAGACGAAGCGATCAAAATCTGTAGGATTTTGGATCTTGCAGCCTGGTTTTAAGATAATGAGAAAGTGTGCATGAGGTAGGCCCCTTTTTTGGAATTCAACCACATATATCATAGCAGCAACTTTTCCAAAAATATGCTTCTTCATTATTTGTTTTTTCAAGCAGATCAACTTTGCCCGGAAAACACAAGCAATAAGATCTGGTCGGTTTTGCGCTGCTTCCCCAGGAGCCAGTTCTGCCTTAATCTCTGGCCAATTAGCATTGCAAGTCATTGTGACAAACAAATCTGGCTTACCGAATCGCTAAACCAAAGCCATTGCATTTAAGTAGCGGCGCTTCATGTCTCGTGGACCACCAATAAAAGTTGGAGGTAATATAACTCGCCGACCAACATTCATGGGATTTGTTTCGCCACTCTCAATTGAGTCTAAGATCCCCTGGTACAAATCAGATTGCATGTTGATTGTGTCGAAAAAAATCTAGGCGAGTATTTTCAATCTTCACATACATATCGACTATATATTGCTGAAGACACCGACCTGCTCTAAGAAGCATGTTGTTTGGCCGAGATTGCAGCTTGTAAGCATAATATTCACGAGGCGAAATATGCCTAGCTGAAGTACCACTTGCATCTGCTAGACCTGAAATCAAGATGCTTGCAATGTCTGTCAGATAAGGCACACAATGATAGGCTAAGAGGTATGATGAAAACAAGCAAGTTCATTACTGAGTTGAAAAGCTTACGTGTTGCTTCCTGTTCAAGCACATCTTCCTCTGTGTGTATTGCAGTCTGTTCGAGCACATGTTCCTCTGTATGTATTGCAGAGGCCATAGAAGAGTTTCCTTGCTCCTGAGATGCGCCGCTTTTTTTAGTTATACCTTGACTCCAACCACAATCACCATAAGGAAATAAGAGTGGGTACTGCAGAGGATCATAACATCCGTAATGATGGTATATACGATGAGGATCGTTTGATTTTCCTCTTACAACAATGTATGGGCTGCTGGACTCACTTGACGATGTATCGTCAGGCCAGATCACAGCCACCTCATCTGTTGTAGGAGCATTATAGGTGCGTTGGTCTACAATAGTGTTTTTGTTGATCAAAATTTGTGTGTCTTCTTCAATGTCAATTTCTCTCAAAGATCTGAAAAAACGAGCGTATGGATTATGCTCAGTTACCTCCATAAGTATATTTATAATATGCTGTCTAATCTGTTTAAAGCAGTCTTTCCTAGCAGTTGCTTCAAATTGGCCATCATAAAAATAGAGCTGCAAATATCTGGGACCTTTATCACCAGGGATTAAATCAGGCAAGTTATGGTAAATCTGGCCATGCAATTTAAAGATATAAATTCCTTTTTCTGTATCTGCATCATACTTGCCACCCAATGAGCTAAATGCAAATAAGTTATTATATAAGCGGATATATTGTCTAAAGTGCAGTGCATCATCTTCATCAGATGTTAACAGTCTATATAATGCAGGAGGATAATCATTAGTTGCTAATTCAATTGATCCATTTCCACAACAGAAATGCAGTGATTCATGCTGAAATTTTTTTGCATTACAGTGCCCACAATACCTAGGTGCTTTAAGCTTCAGAGGAGCAGCTGGTAATTTTAGACCAACCATAGCAGCTGGAGATTCTGCTATGCATGGAGTAATTGCCACATTAATTTATTGGTTTGTAACAGTACAAAACAAAAATCTAAGAAATATGGACAATAAAACTTACTTGTCTTCTTAGTAGTGGGCTGCTTCACTACTTGCTTTTGAGAAAGATCAGCAGCAGTCTCTGTGATATGTAAATGTAAGAAGCAAGGTCTAAGCAATCAGGCATCTAAAAACTAACTGAAAAGGTAATGTGTACAGTTTTGTTGTTAAGATAGCATTAATAGTGGTCACTGCATATATAATGTGTTTATGTGTCAACCTTTTGCCTCATGGACAATGATAATTAAATAGCTGTTGTGTCAAAGCTTAGCTTGCTGTTAAAAAAACTATACTGAAAAAGTCTATTTGCAATATTAACACCTAATATGAATTTCATTATAAAAGGGAAGAGGTCACTTTGAATTGTATTTTTGTTTCCACAGGCTAACCTACTGACCTTTGCCTGAGCTAGCTGTGGTGTAGATTTAAAATTACCCTTTTTTTTTCTTTTTTTTTTTTTTTTGGGGGGGGGGAGGGTAAGAAAAGCAAACAAATGAATATGGAAGGAGATGGGGATAAATTTTCAGTAATGCAGAATCATGATATTGAAGCTAGGCTTTGAGTGTTAGAGTTAAGCGAAGCTAATCTACATGGTAAATTATCTAATGCCATGTTTGTTCATTCTGATGCAGAATAGAGGATAACAAAGCTAAAGAGGAAATTAGATGAAATATCAACTGAAGTTTTAAAGATCAGGCAGCTTGGTAAAGGTAAAAAAGCTAGAAAGAATGTTGCAAGCAAAGCTGGTGAATTTGCACCTGCTGTGCAAATAAGAAAGAGCAAAATGCTGAACATAAACTGCAATGAAGATGCCACCATTGCTGTTAATGATGAGGATGCTGGAATATCTCAGGAAGATGTGAACAAAGACATTGTCGAAGAAAATGAAGTGAAAAGTGATATAGTCATCCAACACTTGTGGTGGGGATAATACACAAAATAAGAATTTTATGGGATCTTCATGTAAATGGCTAGACAATGAAGAATGGTTATTATGATCTTAATGTTGGCAGGGAATTGTGCACTCTGAATTTTAACTTGTTTTTGTTATGTTGTAAGCCATTTTAGATTTTGCTACTTTATAATGTATGAATAACCTCTACTCTAGATCCTGATGATGCTGGGTTATAGAGTTGCCAGGGGAAAATTGTTCAATTTGTTGTAAAAGCAGAAATGCAAATCTGAAGAGGTTATTATTAAGTCTATATGATATGCTATTCTGAACTATACCATGTACACTTACTGGTTGTCTTAGTTTGTGATTTCTTCAACTTTGGGTTCCTTGTTTTTCCTTGTTCACTGGTTTCACTTATTTCCCTATATTCACAGCAACCAGTCAATGCTAAAGAAGTGTTGTTGTTAACCATTAAATAGAAAAAAAATATGTGTCTTAGTGACAAATAGAAGCAGTAAGATCTTATAGGAACAGGTGGTTCAGACATAGAAGCAATTGCTCGCTTGCGCTTGCTAGTTCTCGGATTATTAGTAGTATTCTGATACAGCATGCATTGGTCTAAAAGTGGCCTTCCAGTAGCCTCACTGGCAGTTTGTGCACTATTCAATTCAGGTGCATTAATAGGCAAGACATGAGGGCCTGTAATCAAAAGACCATGTTATCTAAGTGCAGCAATAAAGCAATGCATAATTCAAGACTGTGGTTTATAGTTAGGAGTGTTCATTTAGCATGCCCTATGAGTATCAGTCTAAGATCTTTACAGTTCACAACCATAGTACTTATCCAAAAGACATATAATTGTGCTTACTTTTACTTCTGCTCAGCAATCCGGCAGACAATTGATCACCTCTGGCTAAGCATGCCTCATTAGGTTCTCTGTATGATACAAGCAAATAGGGAATTTAAATGAATGTGAAAAAAGTGTGAGCAAACACTGTGAGTAAATTAGCAGGGTACATTTGCAACTAGAACAACAAATGACCTTATTGAAACAGGTGTCCCAGAGAAAGCTTGTAAGCCCTGTAAACGCTTGCTAGTCCTAGTTTTTGCAAGACCCTTCTTAGCAACTAAGCAACGTTCTGGAATACAATTAAAGATATTCAGATTCACTCCCCAAAAAATTTGTTTCTAGGTGTATTCTGTTATTGATGAGTTGGTGTTGGTATATAAATAACAATCAAATTTAGTATATAAATAACAATCAAATTTAGCAAAAGATAGCAGTAGTACTCATGGTAGCAGTAAAAGGTTGGTGCAGCACAAACAGTTGAAAGCTGGAGTTTAGCTGCTAAGCAAACAAACTGTGCTGGAAGGAATGCACCTAATTAAACTTGGGATTGGGAAGAAATGCAGACTGGTCACATTAGCCATCTATTTTGGCCAAAACCAGTGTCTACGTATTAAGGTTTAGCAAAAAACCAAAAATACAAAGTGCAAAGTACTAAATACAAATATTCTGGTAACCTTTTAAAATAAGCACTCAAATATTGTAAAGCATGTCAAAATAATTTTATATCATTGATTAACCACAAAAGGTTGCAATACATTATACTAAGCAAAAGCAGTACACCAGTTTTGCCAATTACAGGTACACGTAGAGCAGCTTTAGCTATAAAACTAAATGGCAAAATGATAGAATACAAGTCTCTGCCAACTACATGTACACACAAGTACAACAAAATGGAATCAGACCATAACTATAAACCTTAACAAAATAAGCGTACTTAAAAACTAAGAATGCAAAGCTATCGCTCTATGTGAAATGCAGCAGCACACTATTCAACTGATTCTAGCGTAGACATCTAATAACCTTAGCTACATTTTTAAAAAGGCAAACGCATTCCACAAGAACATTGTAATTCTATACCCTAGCCATAATAAACTAAGTACATACGCAATTTATAAAAGCATCTAAGAACACGGTATCATGCTCATGTAGCCAAAGGAACTGCATTCTTTTTAAAAAAAACAACTACCTCATATATACTCAGCTAATAAAAGCAACTAAGACATGCAACATGATACAGCAAAGAAGAAAAAACAATAAAGGTAGCATAACACAAAATCAAGCTGCCTAGCTTGGCATCACTTTGCTAACACAATGCATCCCCTCAACAAACCCATGGTAGCCAATCTTGAACCCACACAATGCATCAATAGGAACAATAAAAACCACATCCAGACAAGGCATACTGCCAGCTTATTTAACAAGTGGAAAAATGTGAAATGAACATAGGAAATTTAGCATCAGCTAAAAACAGCAACTAAACAAACACATGAGCCAAATCAGGTATACATAGAAAGGTTTCTGAAATACTCACAGCAGGAACTTCATCTGCAGCCATTGCAAGGTCATAACTCTGCACAACATGAAGCCAAAACAAAAACAGAAAATTCAGCATTTTATCAAAATAATCTGAAAAAACTGTAACCGATTAACTAATAAGCTGGTAAAAAAAAATGCACAATTTGCAAGTACTCCATTACTTTGACAATGGCATAGGGAAGAAACCCAAAGCAGGCAATCTAAACCTAAGCATTAACAATGCAACAACAGTAAACTTGTAATTGTTCCTTAGCAAGGCCATGGTAACCCATCAAGAGTCAAGCACAATTAAGTAACACAATGCATCTCCTCAACAAACACATGGTAGCCAATCTTGAACCCACACAATTATTGTTTTTAGCAAAATAAGACAGAGTTAATTAGCCAGTAAATGGTACAATCTTATAATCACACAGCAAATAGATCTGCAAGTCAGTTTCTGCAAGTCCAGCATTTAATTTTTTGGGTGAATAGTTAACGATCAGTGAATCACCAACCAAGATAGCATAGCAAGTCAAGGTAATTGTTCTCAGTGCACATAATCTAAGATCAATGTTCCAAAGCAAGTTATTAATTGTTCTATTTTCATAGTCAGCTCTTGAATGTTGAAGTATTGTTGACCAACACAAGTAAAATCTAGATCTAATTTATGCATTACCTCTAATGCAACCTCCATGAAATCTGAGATGTATAGTGCATATGCAGGAAACCAAATAAACCCCCTTGTATCTATTAACCAGCAAAGCAGTAGAAGACAAAATAAAAAGAAAAAGGTTCAGCAAAACACAGCAGGTAATTGAGTTCACCTATTAAAGCCTACAATAAAGTAAGCATGCGTTGATCTAATGACAACCTTACAAGCTCATTATCACAAAACAAGCAGCCAGACCCACTGCCCAAAAACCAAATAAGCTTCTTTAAAAGAGTAATGCTCTTACCCATTGTAAACAAAGACAGACTAGTGTGTAATGCAATGCTTCAGCTTCATATTCCAAGTAAAATGAGTATCGAAAACCCACTGGTCCAAAGAATGTTCTGCTGAACAGCAGAATAAAATGTCAACGCTACTTATTAAAAATAATTAACTAAACACCCTCATAACTTTATATGATCTTAAACAACCTAATTATCAATTGGCCATTTTAACCCCTTCCAAAACTAATAACATAGCTAAACAAGCTACAACTAATTAATCAAGCAGCACATTAGTAACCCACTTTTGCAGAGTAACACCTAACAAAACACCCTCATAAATTTATAAGATCCTAAACAATCTAATTATCAATTGGCCATTTTAACCCCTTCCAAAACTAATAACATAGCTAAATAAGTTACAACTAATTAATCAAGCAGCACATTAGTAACCCACTTTTGCAGAGTAACACCTAACAAAGCTGTAAAAGAATGGCTTACTAAGCAATTGTTAACTTACTTATAAACGAACATGCACTAATAAATCTGAACAAATTGAACAACCAATGAAGAAGGCTAGCAAGCAGCAGTAAGTGGACTGAGCAAAATTATCCCGGCTATTCCGCACAAATACTAATTTAAGACTAACCTCCTGCTCTCCCTAGCAATCTCGCCCTCAAAGAAGCAGTTATGAACTCCAAATAACCTCCATTGTCAAGCTGAGGAAGAAGAAAGCTGACCCACCCCGCAACAAGTGGTTTCTTTTAAAAATACAACGTGGACAATTTTGAGGGACCACATAGACCCTCACATGCACAAATACAGAAGGGCAATGTGGGCATGACACTATTGACAAAGAAAGACCTCACACAAAAGCAGGGGCACTTTGGGCAGAAATCTTCAGCAACACATGACATATTTATGAGGGCAATTCGGGGAGCACACTATTCATAAGGAATTATCAAGAACAAATACAGGGGCAATATGGTCAGAGCACTATTCATAAGGAAGGGAAAAAAATGATGCTTGGTGCTTTTTTAGGTTTAGGGAAAAAAAGTAATACTCTTTACTGTATTTTTAAAAAAAGGTAATCGTTATATTTCTATATAATTTTTTTTTTCTAATTTCTTTATTTCCAAAAAAAAAAAGAAGACACACCATAAGATGACACATGTCTTTGCTAGTGTATCTATGTAAATTACTAGATTATTCTGTGCGATGCACACTTTGAACAAATAAAATTTTCTAAATTTGTTTATTATTTTTTTCGTATAAAAATTTATAGAAATCCTAAAATAAAATATTACATCAAATATTAAAAAAAAAATAGAGGTTATAGAAAAATTGAATGATGAAAGGGGTAGCTGAGGAAGCAAAATAAAATTATTTAGATTGTTTTTCCGAAATTGATACTAATAGTAATATAGCTAATCAAAAGTATTTTTTTTAAAAAGCATGAGCTTTCAAAAAAATTAAAATAAAAGGCGTAAAATAATGTTATCATGAATAATTTTGGAGGAAAAATTTTAATAACAACTTGACATGTCTAGCATGATGTCAACGGTTGTTATTTTAGTATATCTATCTATCTATCTATAATATTATAGATAGATAGATATATAAATTGATTGATTGATTACTGATTGATAGTTACGAAAATGTCACGTGACAACAAAAATCAATAATCAATAACTATATACTAAAAGGCACATCAGCAATGACACATGTCATATTCTGGTGTGTTTTAAGTATATATATATTTTTTTAAAAAAAAACTTTTGAAAAAAAATGATAGGGAATATAAGCAAAATATTTTTTCCCAAAATTTAGAAAAACAATCGTAAAATAATATATTTACCAACTTAGATATCTAATCATATCTAGTGCTGTTCATCGGTCCAAGACCGGATCGACTCAGATTGGACCGAAGACCGAAAATTAAAATTTTAAGAACCGAAGACCGGACCGATTTATTTAGGACCGAACCCGGACCGGACCGGACCAAAAGAATCGGTCTAAAACTCGGACCAGACCGCTTTGACCGATTTAAGAATTTTTTTTAAAAAGAATACTAAATTTTAAATAAAGTTAAGGAAAACACAAAAAAATTATTGAAAAAACTATATTGTAATTTGTAATGTCATTTACGTCTTTTTTTGTATGTTTAGTGCAAAAAGCCTTATAAAGTTTACTAAGCTTTTTAAGGATAATTTTAACCATTATCTACCGTTTCACACATATTTTTAATAAAAAATCGGTCCGGTCCAAAACCGGTTTTAATAGGATTTTGGACCGGACCGAAGACCGAAAAAATGAATTCGGTCTGGTCTGGTCCATTTTTTCGGTCCGGACCGATTTAGGAACACCTCTAATCATATCATTCGATGGCTAATTATGAATTTTAATTCCAAAACTAGCTAAATTATTGACTTCAAAGTAAATTAGCTATTTTTTTTTTCCTTTGAACCAGTTTTGTTCAGGTTTCAAATATCATTCGATTTCTATATAAGTAATTGTTTTTTTTAATGTATATAATTATTATTAATTAGTAAAAAAATCATGAATATAATCTTTCAATCTAACATAATTAGCAAATTAATTTTTTTTTATAATGTGAAATAAGTATAAAAAAGAAAGTTTGAATTATAATATGTAGTCATTGTTTTTTATACTCTTATTTAAATGTAGTTTTACATTGACATTGTGTAACCAAGTGTGAAAAACATGACACGAGATCTAGTCCAGTGGTTTATAATCATTAGGCGGCACAAGGTCATTGTTTTGCCGTCCCTCAAAAAAAAAAAAATAAAAAAAATTCATTGTTTTGCCGTGAAAAAAAAAAGGAAAAGGAAAAGACTGTAATGGGTAGGGTTTTAGAATAGGGTTTATGGTGAGGGCAGGAAGAGAGGGGAAGAGAGGAGAAGAGGAACTGAGGAAAGGAGTGAAACATGGGTGAGTTGAAGAAGGAGGACATCCTTAGAGACAACAACAGTGATAAGTCCGACTCCAAAACCTCACTATCTCTTACTCACAAAGCACTCTCATCTGTACGGACTCCAATCTCCCGTATCTTCAATTTGGGGTTATCTCCATTTTCGGACTTTCGTCTAATCAAAGTCTTCAATTGGTTTCAGGTTTCTTGCTTAAGCGATTTCAACAAACTCCAGAGACTTGACCTCTCATTCAACAGTTTAACTTCACTCAAGGTTCATTACACATTTTTTTTTAATTGTAATTCAACATCACTCTTTATTTTTATTTGTTTTTCTTCTGATTTACAATTGCAATTTTTGTAGGGTTTGGAGTCGTGCTACAATTTGAAATGGTTATCTGTGCAACAAAACAAGCTTCTCAACTTGAATGGCATCCAAGCCCTCACTAATCTCGCTGTAATTTTTTTTTCTACTGTTTAATCATAGAATCCTTTTTTGTACTATGTAATCGCCTGTTTTAATATACCTTTTTTTCGTGTATTCTGGTTAATTAGGTGTTTAATGCTGGAAGAAATAAACTTAAATCTATGGACGAGGTGAAAAATCTCGTTAAGTTACGTGCTTTGATATTAAACGGTGAGTTCTTACATCTCACTCAACTTTTGATTTAACTCATTTTGTCCACGAATATTCAAAGAAGGAATGTATCTTTAATTGCTTCATTCTCTCTACATCTTTTGCAGACAATGATATTGGATCAATATCTGGCCTTGACCAACTAATTGAATTGAATACTCTTGGTAACTTTCTGTTGCTCAATCATTTATCTGCTTCATGGATGATATATCTTCTGTTTCTTTCAATATTGACATCTGCATAAATTTTTAGTTCTTTCTCCATATATTTAGGCTTTTATTATATGGTTTATAGTGCAGTATCCTAATTATGTAATGTGATTGTAATTTCGCCTTGTTTTCTTGTGTTTTTGGCTTTGTGTTTGTTTCTTTAAGACTGTCATATCATATTCCAATGTCCCTGTGATGACTCCTCCTAGGTCTCCTTTCCTGCTGCCTTATGGTAGATGTAAAGATAGGAGTATTACAGGCGAGTCACTTTTAATCCAGTAGAGGGGAATTCAAGGTGGCTGATAGAGGGTTAGAATTAAGGGAAGGCTGTGATTGTGATAAAAAAGGAAAAGTTGGGAGAGAGAGAATCATTGGGATTGTGCAGTTTTCTGTTTGGGAGAGAACTAAGCCCCTTGAACTCTTAGGTTGGTGTACCCAACCATTCATTTGTCTATCAAAATGTCCACTTTATTTTACTTTTCCCCTGCTTAGAATCTGATAATTGCTTAATTACTCTGTTTATGCTTCATCTGCTAACCTGATTCATTACAGCCAGTCATTGGCATATCTAGATGAATTTGGTGTTTGCCTTGCTTTATTGCAATGATTATATTGAAGCTTGCCTATTTGCATCAATTCAGTTTTAAACGAAATAATATGACTAATTGAACCAAGTTTCCTATACTTGGCTTGTTTATCTTCATTGTAGTTCTATCTCGAAATCCAATTCGTACAGTAGGCAATTCACTGGCCAAGCAGAAATCGATTGTAAAGGTGAGCAGATTTAAATACAATAATATCATTTCAGAGCATCCACTAGGCTAGGTTGTAATTTTCTTACATGGCACTTCAGATTTCTCTCTCTAACTGCCAACTAGAAGATATTGACAATTCAATCAAGGCTTGCACTGGACTTCAACAACTGCGCCTTGCTCATAATGATATTAAGGTGTATGCTTGACTTCTTGTCTCTTCCAGAGTTTTAATTCAACCATTTCTATGCCTATATATATGTTTCTCGCTAAGTAGAGTTTGTATGGGGTTGCTACAATATGTTTATCTTTATATTATTCTGGATTTACTTTGTCTTCTGTCCCCATTAATTTAGTTAGAATGCACAATATTACTTACCAATTTGTATCTCATATTATCTTTGGACAGACTCTTCCCGAGGGGCTGGCTTATAGTAAGAAACTCCAAATTCTTGACTTAGGAAATAACATGATTTCAAGGTGGTCTGACCTGGAGGTATGCAGTTCTCATAACTTAAAAAACCTAAACCTACTGGAGGTCTAACAATGTCTTCTTGAGTCATTTACTCATTTGTGATAATTGGATCATGGTTTTGGCACATTTGCAGGTACTTTCTTCATTGCATAACTTGAAAAACCTTAACCTACATGGAAATCCAATAGCTGAGAAGGCCAAGCTCATAAAAAAGGTAATAACACTTATTTTTGTAAGTCTTTAGAAATGTATGTTTGCATTCACAGAAGCCACTTACTCTACCGATGTTCATGGGCCCAGTTGGGTGAATAATTAATTTGGAAAAACATGATTTACCTAGTACATGGGTTGTGTGTTGCACTTGGTTAATGTAGATTTAGGTTGCACGGAAACGGGCAACAGAAACGGAAATTTTAAAATTATGGGAAACGGGGACACGAAAAATAATAATTAAAAAGACATTTAATTAGAATAAAATAACTAATTGCAAGAAATAAAAACAAACTAATACTTAGTCTTTTAAGTCTAAAAAGCTTATGATAAAGATAAAAGTATTAAAATCTAATTGGTCTAAATAGTGTCTTCTTGGTTTTAAAAAGCGTGCCTCATGCGCCTTTGCACCTCGAAAAGAAAATAACTAACATTTAAGTTATAAATTGAAGAATGATGGACATTTTACATATATCATTATTTAATTTATTATGAATCTTTTTAATTAATATTAACTTTGCAAGGTGAAGGCGAGCGCCTTTTGTATGAAGGCGCGTGTATTCATTTGTCGAGGTCCTACAAGGTACCCACTACTCAGAGTACCCTCCCCAAAAAGGGAAAAAGATGTGCCTAGGTGCGCCTTACGCCTTTTAAAACTAAGAATGTCATTCGAACAAAACTCAGATTCCAATTCTGGTTCATCAAGAGAAAGCTCGACAAACTTAAGAAATCCCCCTTCTTCCATGCTATCAAATTGATCACCACCTATATCCCACATCCGTGTTTTCTCATCTTTGTATTCCTTTGTGTTTCTTGAATCTTGATAGAAGTCGAAGATTGTTATAATTTATAAATATAAACCAAATCCTCAGCTCGTTGTGGTGTTAACTTATTTCTTCATAGTGAATGAATAAAATTGTATGTGCTCCAATTGCGTTCACAACATGATGATGAAGTAGGTTGTCCAAGAACTCTTAAAGCCAATGCATGTATAATAGGAGTAGATGAACTAAAACTTGCCCACCAGAGTATAGGATCCATGGTGCTTCTACAATATAAGTTCTCTCCACCCGCATATAGTCCCGAATTGAAATTAAACATACCAAATTCTTCCGTAGCCTGTTTAAAATCTTGAGGATCTGGAAAAAGCTTTTGAAACACTTAATTCTCCCTTAAGATATTTTTGCATCTCTATGAGGTGATACTCTATTAGGATCCTCATGAAGCCATGCATCACTATAAAACCCTGAAAATAAAATCAATTTCATAGTGTTATCAATGCAATACAAAATTTTTAAAGATAAAAAAAATAATTAAAGTAATAAATGGAGTAAAAATACTCTAGGGTTTCATGAGTGAGCTAAACAATGAAGAGGGGTGGTGCTTTTTTCCCGACGTGATACCAAAATTTTAAGAACTACTTCATAGAAGTCAGATTGTTGATCATGTTACAAGCCTTCATGAGTATAAATTTCAAGCTTCACCTTATCAATCATAGTATCCCACATCTCATACACTAAATGCAAAGTTGGTTTGTCAGTATCACAAATCCTAATCATGTCATATATAGGTCAGTAAAGGCAACAATGTAATCTACTTTCTCCCATCATGCATCACTTACCTTTTCTTTCACAAACCTAGCCTTACCTTGACCATCTTCTCTATAACTCGCCCATTCCTCACTTACTACCATTGTTTCAAGAGCACGACGAATATCTCTTAAGCATAACCACCACTAAAGCAAAACGAGTATCAAAAAGTAACTTCAGTATTTGTTAAATATGGCCAATCTCATACTAAGAGTCATGAATTTCAGTAATCCAATGACACTCATCATATGTTTCTTGATTAGAATCTAAATTTTTTGGAGCACAAATGTTTTTCAAAGTAAGGTTTAAAGTATGGACAACACAAGGTGTCCAATAGAGATCTATGGATATCTGCTCTCAATGATTTCTTCGGCACCTTTGCAATTTGGAGCATTATTAGTAATTATTTGAACAACATTCATAGCTCCAACCTCATTAATTACTTGTTTCATAAGATCAGCAATAAAATGTTTGTCTTTAACCTCACCAAAACAATAAACAGATTTAATAAATATTGGACCACATCCAGAAGTAGCCATAAAATTAATTAAGGCTCTTCTTTGTGGGTCACTTCAACCATCAGAAACAATAGTAACTCCTTTCTCCTTCCATGTATTTTTTGATGGGTTGCATAAGTGTATATTCTCCTTCACAATTCCTTTTCCCTTAATACCAAACAAATGACTCCTAACTCTAGTGTATGTTCCTTGATAATTACCACCACATAAATCACAAATCCACAACGTATTTCCACCTTCCCCCCAACCTTCTCAACCTTAGTTACATATTTCCAAAAGGGACTATTTTCGTCAATGAATTTATTTATTTTTTTTTTTTTCAGAGGGATTATTTGTTGTTTGACTTGTTTCAAACTCAAGATTAGCCATTATAATAAATTGATAATCAACGACAATAAGTTTTAATAAACTTCTCATGCTTGATATATAGTTATATATATAATTGCTCAATTAATTATATTCTCAATAACCAATAAAGCATAGAAATTGTAAAACACGTGTATTCTACTCCACTACCCCAGTATATACAATTATACGTAATTGAAGTGCTTGAAAAGATACATTAAAAAATTAAATAAAAAGTAGTACTAATATCAATATCACTGCCAACCAATAAACATTTAATCAAGGCAATCATGAAGTAAGGTTGAGAATACAAAACAAAAAGTAGTACTTATATCAATTGGCGCTGATATGACTATTGCAATATCAATACATAATTAAATAAAAAAGTGGTACTAATATCAAAATCAAAAGATTCAAAACTATAACCAAATACAAAAATCGATCGGTAGTATGACACAGAAATCAAAATTGAAACCAAAATACAGAACTCGACCGGTGGTAATTGATAATTACCTCAACGTTGTTCCGACAAGGCGGTGACGGCGGCAAACAAGGGTCTTCATGGAAACGACAACTATGGAAACGACAACTATGGAGTTCGCTGCTTTGCTGCTCGTAATATGTAAATTGTAAAATCAAGGGTTTAATTGCCTTTTTAAGTGGAAACGCCTATTTATACTGATAATTAAGTTTCCCAAGGGTTTCCAAACTTCCAAATTATGAGAGACGTATTCAAGAATTAGGAAACTTGCACAACCGTTTCGAAACGTGATACGTTTCCGAAACGTTTCGGACACGGTACGTCACTGCCGTTTCCGTGCATCACAAATGTAGATCTTGTTATCATGATGAACCCTTTAGAGTGTGCCTTATGATCCAATTTTAAAACACTCGAATTATGGCACTTAGCCTACGACACATGTCCTTGGGGGCATGGCAGCGGGGCGCATGCATTACTTCTAGATAATGGCTTTGAGGCGTTTATAAATCCAAGAATTTCCCCTTTTAATCATCAATTAAACAATAGGTGTTCTAAAATTATAAATGTTGAGAAAGAAAGGATATAATTAATTTATTACTTTGAAATAAAATGCCTCTTTCCACAAAAAATGTTCTTCAAAGTACTCCTTTAACCAAATTAAATAATCTTCTCCCTTTTCACTCTCTTCTTCACTAACAATTTTTCTCCTATTTTTGGGCTCTTCACTGTTGCTGTGTGTAATGCTTTCATGGTCTGTTGAAAGGCATAGCGGAAATATGAGTAGGGGTGCTAATCGAGCGAGTCGATCACAAGCTAGGGGGTGCTCGACTCGTGATCGAAAACTAGAGCTTGTTGTCACGTGCCAATTACTTTGCCCTAGTCACACACTGGCGCCACTCCTTGTCGTAAGACGAGTCAGGCTTTCTCCCTTGGCACTACTCCTTGTGCCCACGTAGCACAACCCTTTGTGCTACTAAAATATGTTTGCTAGCACAACCCCTTGGTGCTAACAAGACCCCTTTGGTTGACTAAGCACTCTCCCTTAGTGCCGTAGTCTGAATTAACGACTAAGTGTCGTAGACAATAGAGCACAAGCTATCACCCTTGCTAGTATGCCCGACTACTCACTTGGCACCCTCGTGCCTTGGTTTTCCTCACACTCTCTAAGTGTTTGAAGGAAAGGATTGAGTTGCAAGAGAACACAAGTGCTTTTGGAATGCTAACTGAATGTACAAATGAGCCTATTTATAGTGCTCCATCCTAGCTACAAGCTGTATCTAGAATATTCCTAACCTCCTCAAATGGAAGGTTCTAGACTACAAGTATCTAGAGAGTTCCCACCTTCTTAAGAACATACATACATGGAGGTTCTACACACATCTAAGCCTAAAATGTTAAGGACTAACCTAGAACATTCTAGAACTTTACAAGAGTTATGTACATATGTAGAAGAACCTAGAAGACTCCTACTATGCACCAGACCTTCCTTGATTATTCTAGATTCATCCACTTTAGAATAGTCTTCCAAATAACCTTATAGATAGCTCTGGAACCTTCTAGAAGCATCTCGCGTTTTTCGGGCTACCTGTAGCCAAAACTTGTACTGCGGAACCTCGTCTCGAAAAACCGACACCACCATGGTCTTCCTTGGATCAAAATACGGTGGACCCCTTAATTTGGGTCCATTTGGACTTCGTTTGGGTCTCCAAATGACTCATTATTGTGTTACTGTCACTTAGGGTGTTCACTAGGAAAATAGCACCAGATCAAAATAAAGCTCTTTAGAGGGAAGTGGGCAAGCCCCCTAGACACGTTTATGCTCGGTTGCCTAGTGACCCAAATGACGCCCATGGTTAGCAGGGGAGATGACTCGTGACATCGTGCTCGACTTGTGATCGTTACTCGGTAAGTTAGTGTTAGACTCGTGATCGTTTATTTTGCAAATCTGCAATGGCTCGTAACTCGCTAAGCTCGATAGCTCGGCTTGTCATCTGCTCGTCTAATTTATTTAATTTTTATTTTTTTTAGTTGTAACTTGACTATTTAATATTTTCAACTAATATAAACTACT